AGTTGCTGCAGGCGGGAAGGCGAGAAGGTAGGTAGGGAGCTGGCGGAGCCTGCTTTAGTGGTGGGATTACATAAATCAACATTTTTGGTGGTGCACAGCAGAAAGTTTTTGGCGCAAACAAAAATATTAATTTTAACTTTTTACGGTTATAAAAATGATGGCAAAAAAAAAATTGCAAAAAATAATAAAATCTAAAAAATGTGCAGCACTTAAAGCTTAAAAATATGTGTGTGTGTGTGTGTGTGTGTGGGGTGTGTGTGTGGATGAGCGCGTTAATTTGCACATTTTGTACTTTGTTTTTTTTTTTATTATACATTTTATTTTTTATCGCTTTTAATGTGCAATTGTTAATTGTTTTTCAACAATAATTTCTGCGCCTGAGCCCATGCATTTAATGGCAAAAGGACGTCAAGGAAATGCCATATGGCCAAATGAGTGCCTCGCTTTTGTCTCTGCCCCAACCAACCCGCCTCGCCTCTCTCCCCTCTACGTGCGTCGCTTTTGTGCACTGGCAGGGCAGCGTTGCCATATCGCCTGCGTCTGCACGCGATAATTCTTTACCGCTTGTTTATTTATGCGGCGCCGGAAAAACCGCCCACAGCAAACACACACATACATACATCGCCCGCACACACGCACACGCACACGCACATTACACAGCCCCCCCCACACACACACACACTTTATCTTTTGCTCGCTCTTTATTTATGCAGCATGCATTTAAAATAAAATAAATATAAATTAAGCATACGCCCGGTGCAACAGACGTCGCCGAGTGTTTCTAGAATCGCGACTTTGGCACTTCACAGCCTAGCATATTAGCTAAGTGGCAGCTAAAGTGACCTCAGCGCTCGGCAGTCTACTCGAGTCAAGCAGCGTTAACTATTTAGTTAACACCACGCACAAAGCTGTGCACTTGTGTTTATTAAGCTATATGGAACTTAAGTTCGTCTCGCTAGACTCTATGGTAATTATTTTATTTGATTTATAGCTACCGTTTCTCTCTCTCTCTCGCTAGCTCCCTACCTCTCTCTCTCTCTCTCTCTCCAATTCTCATGCGATTTCAGCTTCTCTTTACTCTATTCTCTTTTCTACTTTAGTAATTTGGCCTTTCTTCCTTGGACCGCTTGTGCTTTGTCATTTCATTTTTTACCAATTCTGCTTTCCTCTTTACTCTCTTTCGTTACTCTCTTGCCTTTTCCTTTTTACTCTCATGCGTTTTTCACTTTTGCCTTAATTCTATTGCTCTTTCTACGTTGCTCTCTTGGCCTTTCTTCCTTATTCTCTTGCGCTGTCTTCTTTACTCTTTTGAACTTTCTACTTTACTCTCTTGCCAGTGCTTCTTTGTCTACTTCACTCTCTCCCCCTTTCTTCCCTCTTTCCTTTCTATTTTACTCTCATAGCCTTTCTTCCTTAGGCTCGTGCATCTTATACTTTACTCTCTTGCCCTTCTGCGCTGTCCCAGTTACCCAAATCTCCTTTCCTGTTCATTCCCTTTAATTTTCTGCCTTGCTTTCTGTATATTTAATTTGCGCTTTCAACTTGTTTCTATTCTTTTGAGCTACGGAGCTTATGCAGGGTATTCAGGATTCGTTGAGCTGTTGATAGAAGTCTCTGCCTGCATTCTTATTGCTGTTGTTGTTGTTATTTTTGTTGCTGGTGGCATTTTGCAGCATGCTTTAATTGCATGGAAAGGATGCAGCGTTGCATATAAATTTCTCATATTTAATTTTGCGAGCCACTTGACGCTGCTTTTTGGCATTCAGCGCTCAGTTTAATGCCATAGACCACAATTTATTCATGCTCCCCAGCATCAACAACACAAAGACCATAAAAAACTTGAAAAACATATAAAAACTATATAAAAAAAAAAACCAACAACAACGAAACCAACTCGAATGAGCTGTAAACTCAAAAATCGCACAGTTAATACCCTTTCCAGCTGCCTGAGCTAAGTTATTGCTTGCAATCGGAAGTATTCTAGTAACATTTGGACAATATGTGACCAAGACTGGAACCAAAACAGAAGCTGGAAATGAGCTCAAGCCGTAAACTGAACCAGCGACTTCATTTTTCAGGGCTCGCAGTTCCAATTTGTTAGCAAAACTGCTTAATATAGCTTGTATTTATTATATAGGAGAATAATTTGTAAAAAACTGGACTATACTTTGCTGGACATTGGCCAAGAAATACCAGATATATGCCGTATATATGTATCTATATCATTCAGACTGGGGAACTGTGATAATGCCAAGCAGTCGGTCACATAGGCTTAGTATACCCTGTGCCAAGGGTATATCAAAAATAAATAAAAAGGAAAAGAAAAAGCAGCAGCAGAAAAATGCGTTGCAAAGTGGCCAACGCCCGCGCCTCTGTGTGTGTGTGTGTGTGTGTGAGTGAGTGTTTGAATGTTGTGCACTCATTTACATTAAATGAATAATGCACTCGAGTGTGCTGTGAGAATCTGTTCCGTGTTTTCATTTTTGGTAGCTCTTTTCCATATGATTCACCATTTCGGGGGCACAACTGATGCGATTGCTGCTCCAGCGGAAATGCACGAAGCAAGCTTGCCAGAAAGTCAGATGGCCAGAGGGCTAGAGGGCCAGAGGGCCAGAAGGGAGCGTGCAGCAGCTATAAAGTTGCAAGATAAATGCGCTGGGCGCCGTGCAAGCGTGCCACATGACTGTGCCGCAGCATCAACGGCTGCTTAGCTGCCCAGATGAACAGATGGGCTACAGCTAACCAAATCCCCCCCTTCAGCACCCTGCCCTGCGCTGCGCTGCCCCTACAGGCTTTTCCCACTGACCGTTGTTCATAAATTTCGCTCTTAAGTGCCGCACATTAACCGCAGGCTGTACCCACATGCCCCACGACAACAAAGGCAGGCAGCTTCTTGGCTGGCGCTTAATGAGATGACTTCAGCTGGAAGCTGGCACCGAGACAGCGACTGGCGACCGGCGACCGTCGGTCGGCGGCACTTGCTCCAATAAAGTGTCAAACAAATAGCCAAGACATTTAATTGTAATGCTCATGAAAATGAAAATGACAATGGTAATGAAAATGACAGCAACAACAAAAACAACAGCAACCACAGCAACAACAACAACAACAACCAAGCAACAGCAGCTGCAAAAAGTTTTAAAGTTCTGCACTTCAACTTCAACTGTTCAACTCTTGTGGGTTATTTTATTGTCTGACCCCAGGAACAAAGCGTTTAATTGACCGCAATTAGCCCAAAGCTACAAAATAAACAAGAAGAAGCAACTAGCTAGCAACTTTTTTTAGCGCTCACACTGTACATACAAGTTTTAGTTTTGTTTTCTTTTGTCGAAACAGCGACAGAAAGCTAATCAAAAGAGAGTTGCTGCCGTTTGTGAATTAAAAGACAAGCGGAAAATAGTGTTGGCAATCGCTTGATTTTATTCAATAACTGTTCGATTTTTGTGTTAATGTTAACATACATAATATTAATGTTACATAATTATCCAAGGTAATGTTCAGTTATTTAGTTGAATCAAAACGAAACAAAACAATTACGAAACGAACAAAACAACGAAATCTTGGGGTGCAGTTTTTCGCATTATTTTGCCACCTGCAATTGTAAGCATTGCTACCAAATCGAGGCTTAATATTGTTGTTCTCGTAGCCCGCTTAGTCAATGGACACTGCATCCTAGCTCTACAGAATTATTTCAATATATGTAATGTATACGACATTGCGGACAGGCTTGCATTATGTGAAGAGAACAAAAGAAAGTTGTTGCCATTAGAGAAATGTGAGACAAGCGGAAATGCAGTGTTGGTAATCATTAAATTTGGATCGATAACATATCGTTGTTTGTGTCAATGGAACTACCGCTATCTGTGTAAATGTTTGGTTATGCAGTTGAATCAAAACGAAGCAAAACAATGCAATCAGTCTTCCGAATTATCTTGCCACTTGCAAATGTTGGCACTGCATTCAAATCAAAACCAAATATGGTTGTCCATCTTCCCACCTATACACTGGCTGTCCGATTGAAACTGAATCATTTCAAAAGCTCACTTGTTTTTGTAACTTCAACCTTGTACTTTGTATTTAAAGTCCTAGTACACCTCTGAACCTAGCAAACAATATGTCAAGTTATATTAAATATTATGCTTAGTATAATGCGAATGTCTCGAATGCACTTGTGCAAAGGCTCTATTATGTGTTTATTTAATTATAGTATGAGCTGGACGGCAAAAACGGATTGTTAATTGATGAAATTGTACCTCAGAGCTGCTAACTAACTTATTTAATTTAATATCATATATTTGCTGATAAATAACTCTTACTGCAGCCTTTGATAATTATGTGAATTTGAGATGCACAAAAAAATAATTGCATTTTTCACAAAAAATCATGCAATAATGAAAGAACAATATGTATTTTATAACAATTGAATACATTTTGTATAAAATTTCATAGAATTACATTTAATTCTAGCAAGGCATACTTTAATTAATAATTTACAGACAGAAACGTAAACCCAACAACGCCTGTTGTCTGTTTGCAGATGGGCGAAATGGCCACGCATGCAACGCATGCAACGCCCATGTGCCACATGTGCCACGGTGGCAATTAAAATTAATTTAAATTTGAATAACTCAAACACACACAGACACAACACGCATACGCATGTGCATAACAAAATATGATAAAATTGAAATATGAAATATATTAAAATTTAAATTTTAAAAAATATTTTTTACGCGAGCTCTCTGGCACGATGATTTTGCGGTCTATTTCTTTACCAAATATTTAAGTCTTTTACTTTTACAACATTTTTTGTGGCACGACAAATTGTCACACCTGAAAGTTGGGAATCAGTATCGCCTGACGGATACATTTGCGATAATATGCAAGCATCATAATAATATTATTCATCATTTATTTTAAATCTAATGTTAGTCAAATTATTTTCGAATTCTTTACCAAAACTAAACCCCCCTGTCTTTCGCTTACCCTTCCATTTACAGAGTTTAGCAGCGCTCAGCAGCAGCCCAAGCTGGAGATCTATCCGACACAGCAAGTGCAAAGGAAGCCCGTGGGCAAGCCCCTCATATTCGACCTGCCGTCCCACTGTGCCAGATCAGTCACTGGTCACCGATCTGCAATGGAAGGACAATATGAATAATACGATTTTGCCCAAGCCGTAAGTGTGCAACAATTATTTGCACTCACTGTGCACTCATCTTTTCTATACATATATAGTCTAAATATAATACATAACTCTGTAATTTTGTGTGTGTGTGCTTATTATTATGTAGCACATGTCGTTTTTTACCCTGAACCTGTTGAAAATAAGGAAATTTAACTGGCAGAAGAACGCAAATCTGTCCCTATAAAGTATATACCATATATACTACGTGTTCCGGATAGATGCGCCGACCTGAGTACATCTTACCATAGCCGTCTGTTTATTCGTCTGTTTGAGGGGTTCGAAGCCGGAAATTAAAAAACAGCACGATTTTAGTAGTTTATTTTAATATTTTTCCTAAGATCGATAAATATCGATTTAGGGATTTGATTTCTTAGGCAGAAATCGAGAGTTATAAGAGCTAGATACACATGTAGGTGGCATGTAGGTGCTCGTGAAGTGTATACAAATTGGAAATATTTGACTTTTGGGATATCTGCCCACCAATCGGAAAATAAAGGGTAACAGAAAAAGAGCCCTGCCCACTTTTAGTGAAAGAGCCCTGCGTTTGTGTTTATGTTACTAAGTATGTATAAAGGTCAGCTGGGTTCAGGGTATCTCCTAGTCGGGCACTCCCGACTAGAGCACTTTTACTTGTTTTCTATAATTTTGTGTACTCCAAAAACACACACAAATACACACACACACACACACACACACACTCTCACACACCATATGTTATTCTTCTGTAGGAGCAATTATGATCCACTATATGATTCCAAGGGAAATAAAAAGAATGTGTAAGTGCCGACAACAACAACAATAGCAACAATAGCAACCACAACAACAGCAACAACAACAATAAAAATACAACTAAAAATTCGTTACGTTTGCGTAGCTCGAATAACAGCAACAAACACTCGCAAATTCGTATTCGTATTCGTATCCGTATTCGTATATTCGTAAATTCCTATTCGTTTGAATAACGAGCACGTGCCCGCTCCTTTCCCCCACTCGCTCAGTTGTTTTGTTTGCCGGCATGTATATAAAAGTATTTTCAATGTTTGTTTTGTTCTTAACTCTTTTGTGTTAATGTTTTCTTCTTTTTTAATTATAATTATTGATTGATCGGCAAATATGCGTAGGCCCTAACGTAGCATCCACATAGAAAAAACAGCAACATAAAACAAAACCCATCCAAAAACATAAAACTCCTTCATATTATATCATTCAAAAGTGAACTAATTGAATAGCTGCTGTTATGCCAAATAATCGTATCAATCGTATCAACCGTATCAATTAAATATCTAGTTTTTGTCTACTAACCAACTCCATCGACAGTTTAGTTTCATAACCCATTCACATGTACGAGTCGAGTGTATTTAATGCTGGCAATATTCAATGCTCAGTGTCATTAGTTGTACGCATGGAAGTAACTTTGACAAGAGCTTAAAATCAAGCAGAGAACTTGAGCACATGCTTATGTGCAAACACGGAATGGCATCTCATTAATTCATTACAGAGTTACAGACGAGAAAAGACTTAAAATTGCAGCTGCAATTCAGGTGCTTATGGAATGCTATAGAGCGCAGCATAATGTGCTTAACAAAACTTGTGGTGTAGCCAACTTAACGCCATTAAAGCATAATGAACTCAACATGTTCAAGCACTGCCAACTTAACATATTCGTGGCATTGTCGAGCGCAGCTAACTTAATGCGCTTGATAAAAGCGGAAATGCAAGCAATTTAACATACAAAGAACTCGCTTAGGTGCGGCCAACCAAAAGATGCTCATGACACAGTTAACGGGCATGCTAGAAAAGAGCGCCATAGTGCGACTGCTAGCTAAACACGCTGAGTGAATCTGGCTAAGCGCTGTTAGCTGTTAGCTCATGAGCTGCTTAGGGTGCACTTAACTTAACGTACTCAGGAAATAGTCAAGTGCAGCCAACTTAACTCTGCTCTAATAAAATACAACTGCTCAAGTTTTTTTTGCTGCCAACTTAACCAACTTAACAAGCCCAAAGCAATGCTCAGCTGCGGCCAACTTCACGAGCTGATTGCACAGTCAAGCGCAACCAACTTAACTCGATCTGTTGTCTAACTGTGCTGCCAGATCGCTAAAGCAGCTCGGTATATTCGCAGCAAATATTCCTATTCAGCTATTTAAAGCACCAAACTTTTTAGAAGGCAGCTGAAAAAATTTTAATTAAAAAGCTAACCCCAAGCCAACTGATTTTTAGGCGAAAAAAATGAACGAAAACAAATTGCAATCAGTGCTAAAATAATAATAAAAAACAAAAAAAAAAAATCCATTGCAGGCAAAATCGCTTGAATGCAAAAGATTTCCCAATTGCTTAAATCAAAATCAGACAATTTTGCGGCGTGTTTCGAGTACTCGGCCTGGCCGAAAATGAAAATCGTGTTAATTAATTTCGCCAAGGGAAATGCACCCCAGTGGATGCGGAGGTGAGCAGGGCAGGGCAGGGCTTAAACAGTGCAGACAACGCCAAGGGCCACTTGCAGCCTGCTGTCAGTGATTCGTTTCACAGATTGCTTCAGCTTGCGGCCACTGCACTCTATGCCCCACTCTCTCCCTCTCGCTCTCTTCCTGTTTCTGTTGCTCTTTTATCTCTGATGGCTTTCAACTATTGCGTGCCAATTAACCTGAATTTTGTGGCCACATTTTTGTACTTCAGTCACATTAAATTTGATACGATCCGCGCCTAAAATTATGCAATGTCTTGCTGTTATGCTACCAAAAATTTACATAAATGAAACTTACCCGAACGTATCCATGATGAGGAAACAGGTTTTCGATTTAAATTCATTTGCTTCGCATTTAAGTTGAACCAGCAACTTAAAGCATCTTTCAAATCAAAGCCAGGGATGAAATGAACACAAAATCGAACAAGTGGCAACGCCAGCACATTGCAAACTGGCAGCCCTAGCATATGGCAAATGACAGTTTGGGTGAATGCTTTGGCCAACGGGGTCTTGGGTCAAATGGCAAAGAACAGTTTAGGTAAACGCTTGGACGGGTTCTATTTCGTCTGAACTTCTTTTCTAAGCAAATTCAAGCTTAAATTTGCAGTAAGATATAAACACACCGAAATCTCTCTCTCTCTCCCTCTCTCTCTCAGTTGCCTGTCTTCAGAGGAAAGTATGGAAATCCTTTGCTTTTTCTGGAATATATTTAATCTGCTGTCTGTCGCCCCATTCAATAATTTTACTTCCCGGTTTTATCATAAATGAAATAAAGGCCACTTAACTTAGATGAACTTAGAAATTCCTTTCAATATATGATTTGATAAAACTGGTTCTCATTCAATTCTCATTTTACCAGCTAAAAACTCAGGCAGCAAAGTCTCGTTGGCATTTTAAGCTGTTTTTTGACCTATGAAATTTGCTGCAGCTTTTTGCTTATGTTTTTCCTTACAAACCAGGCAGGATCATGGGCTGCACATTTAGCGCAGTGGGAACTGTGCTGTTGTACTTTTAGGTTGAGATCAACCTTTGACCTCGGTCTGACCGATAAATGAACATACAGAGAGCCAACACGCACACAGGCACACACAAAATTGTTATTGAGCTTGGCAACTTTTCAATTTTGCTGCAGAATCGCGGCAATGGCCACATTTTAGGCGCACGCATCAACTGGGCGGCCATACTGAAATATTTCCCAGCCGAAATCTGCAACAAAAACCAAATGCTGGCAACGCTGGCCCCCACTACTAGAACAACACTCTGCCTGACCGAATCGTTATGTGCGCTACGCGAATTGCTTTGTGTTTGCACTGCGAGACGTGGGGCGTGGTGCATGTCACGCCCACACAATACGCAATGCGTGGCAATGGGGTGGGCGGGCTTTTTGGATTCGAAATGAAGTTTTCGACAGGCTGGCAACGCGTTGCATACTTGCAGGCGCAAAATGTAATTAAGCTGCCAAACCGGGCACAAACCCAAAAACACAACAGACCAAAAGCCGAAACCGAAACATCCCACTACCCCGCCCACTACCCCTACGCTGCCCGCGCCCATCAGCTAGGGTATGCCAGTGCCAAGTTCGAGGCCCCCAAATGTTAGTTTTTCAGACGTGACCGTGACTGCCGGCCATTGCCCGTTTGGCTGTTCGCCGCCAGCCTCCAGCCTCCAGCCTCGAGTTAATTAAAGCGATTAAGTTGGCAATAGTTCTGTGGCTGGCAACGCATCGCCGCTTAACTTGGTCATTTTCCCATTTGCACTGGCCGTTGTACGCTTGTATGTATGTATATGCAGGCATTCTGACATCTATTTGAATTTGTACTGCCCTTTAGCCATAAATATGTGTACCAAACAGGATATCATAACGTTGAGCAAGGGCACAACTGGTAAATACCAAATGGAAGGCTGCATTTGTCTCTCTGTCCGTCTATCTGACCTCGAGTGAATACATTTTTTAGCTGCTTTATATATGTAGCTGTGATCTATTTATGATAACAATATAGATATATATAATTTTATTTGAATTTTTCTTTCAGCTTAGTTAGCAAAATAAAAAACCCTTAAAAAAGTGCATATGCAGTCGAATTCTTGGCTTATAGTATATATATAACTATCAGACACTTTGTTTCCAATATTAAGTAAAAGCTGCACTTATCTTAACAGAGCGGGCCAGGGTTCGAATCCCCATAAAGCAAGTGCTTTTTACGCCGTATATATACAAAACGTGGACGAGTTGTTCAAGTGGCACAGGCTAAGAGTATTGCTTAAGACAAAATCTGTGATAGTCAGTTATATTGTTGCTTTTAATTTATATCCTATGTTGATAATTAAATAAATCCGATTCAATTTTAACTAGTTTGAATTTATTGTCAAACTTCTGTCTCTCTCTCTCTCTCTTTTGCTCTCGTCCTCTCTCCCTCTTTCTATCTCTATTTTCTCAATCTTAATTGTGTGTTTGGATATCTTTTGTTCGCCGAAGCGTTTGCCCAAAGACGTCTTTTGGCCAAATTGCTGCACTTGACTTGGGCATGACTTTAAGCGTCTTAACAACTTGGCAACCCTTACAAACCCCCCCCCCCCCCCATCAAGCCGCCCACTGCCTCAGCTACATATTTGGCTCATTGTGCATTCAACAACAACAACAACCAGTAGAAGAAAGGGAGGAGGGTTGAGCAACAATAACGACATCTTTATTCGCATCTAAGCCAAAGAAATGCAATAAAAAATTGTCGTGGCGTTGTCCCCAGGCGCCCAAATGTCGACTGCCCCGCAACCCCCTAGCCACGATCAAGCTGCCCCTCGACCCCACTTCAATGGCTCTGGAGACAATCAAAAATTTGATTTTTACGTATGCGTTACTGTTTTCGCTCTTGTTTGTTTGCCCGAACCACCGCCCCTTACCCACCCCCCTGCGCCCAGGCCCCAGTTTGTTCCAGTTTTCTCCTCGGTCTGTGTGCGCCGTTCGGCGCAATATTAAAAATCCAACGCAAATATGCAGCACAATTTTTCCCACAATGTCTTCCCCTGTGTGCGTTGCGTTGCGATACGATGCGGTTGCCATTTTGTTTTTCACAGTTTTTCTTATTTTCATTCAATTTCTTACTTTTTTTTTTTCTTAAATTTTTTGTAAAATTTTCTTCGTTTTTTTTTTCGGCATTCTCGTTGAGGACTTTTGTTAGCATAATTTTGGGGCACCGCAGCGAGTTTTGTGTGTGCGTGAGTGAGTTTTATGTGTGTGTGTTTTTTTGTGAGTGAGCTTTATGTGTCTGTGTGGTTAAGGCAAACATATAGGATTTCTTTTTTGCATTTGGGCAACAATCGCGAATCACAAATCGAACGCAGGTTGCGCTGAATATCACGAAGTTCATAAAACACACATCCAAACACACATCCAAACACACACACACACACACTCCCTCACTCATATATGAAATCAATTGCAACAGTTTTAAATTTCGCATCCCGCGTGCCACTATGTGCCTCATGGCTTTAAGTCTACGCCTGATGTTAAAGCCCAAAATCTACTTCATTGACTTTTTCATGCCAATGCCGAATTTAAATACCCTTGCAGACGATATATGTACATATATTACACAGCAACAATTTTCAGCCGAGTGCTTTTCTAATCAAACCGCGACACATGAACAGCAGCAAGACAAACATTAAATCTGACGGACTCATTACTTGTTAGACTATGCTATCTATGCTTAGTTTCATCAAGATAGCTACAAACCTAAGCGATTTATTTGTTAAATAGTACTCGGTGCAGATTACTCAATACTCGTACGTACTGATAGAAAGACTCGTTACTCGTTGCACATTACTCGTTACTCGTTGCACATTACTCGTTACTCGTAAGTCGTTACTCGTAGCCGTTAGACGAGAGTTTGTACTCGTTAATCCTTAAGAGTAAACTCGTTGCGAACTAGTTAGTCATTCCTCGTTAGTTGTTAGTCGTAGCCGCTCGACGATAGTTAGCACTCGTTGGTCCTAAAAGATTCACTCGTTGCACAGTACGCGGAACTCCTTACTTATTGTTCGTTGCACGTAGCCGATAGTCGTTAGCTTGTAGTTCTGCGAGATTAACTCGTTTCACAATATGCATTGCTCATTACTCGTTACTTGCCACACACTACTCGCTATTTGTAAGTCTTCAGTTTTTATTCGTTACCCCTCTTTGGTGATGGCATGTAACACGAACGGAACGACAAACTTTTGCCTTAGTCAGAAACTGTTCATTTACGTTTGGCTCGAAAGTTTTTCTGTTCCCTGTTAAATTTTTATTTTTTTTTTTTGTTGCTTTGGTTTTGGAAAAGGAGTTTGGGGGTTGGCTAGGCTTACAAAGTGAAGCCATAATAATAACCGCTATGCATATTTAGTTTTGCGCAACAAAAGTTTTTTAATTAATTAGTACGTGCCTTGTACCCCTCCCCCGCCCGTCGCCGCACAGCAGTAAGCAATAGTTATGTATGAGTATTTTCCCAGTTTTTGGCAATTTTTACTCTCTTTTTTTGGCTAAGAAGTATTTTATATCTTTTTTTTTCTGGGCTGGCGCGATTTCATGCCAAATGCCAATTGGCAAACAAAGCAAATAGCGCACAAGCCGGCGAAAAGTTTTTAATGCGCAACGCCTGCGCGTATGGTAATGGCAAATTGTTTGTCGCACATGCACATATTATTTGGCCAGAGTTGCCAGGCAACTGGCAGGCAGCGCTAATTGCCAAAATTTGTGCAAATTATTTGAAGCGAAACGCTTGAATTTCTCAAGTCTGGCTGCTTAATTTGGGATTACAGTTTGGCTGAAAACAGTTTATGCACTTAATTGATAGAGTTGCAAAGTTCAGAGTTGCAACAGTTGCCCTTTTTTTTCTGTAGTCTGGCAGAGTGCCCAGGCTGGTCTAGACCGCAAACAAAAATTAATTTACTCGCCCATTTAAACTGATTTAAATAGCAATTATTGGGGTTTCTAGGTAACCAAATTGTTTACACTTCAGCCACAAGCATGTTGGCAACCCTGGGCAAACAGTTTTGGAGTGCTTCACTTTGGAAAACGAAACTTTGATTGAATACCTTTGAATTTGAAGCTAGCTTAGCTTAGTGGAAAGGCAGCTGTGGGAAATGTAATAACCAGAGTTGCCTTAGATGCAAAAAAAAGGTTTTTTTTGCTGATGTTCTTGTCAACAATAAGAGATAGAGAAAGAGATAAATGCCAAACATAATTTAAAGAAGCTTAAACTTTAGTAAAAATATGATGACAACCCTGGTCAAAGAGGATAAGTGCAAAATCAGTTTACTTTGCGAAAATTTGCATTATTTTCAAAGTCTTTAACTAAATATTTCCTAGTAGAAAGCTAACAAAGGAACTTTGAGAGGCCTTCTCGTTTATTTGCTTTTCACTGTTATACTTCGTAAAGCACAGCAATATTTCATTGTTTTAAAATAATTGAAGTTAAAAACATGTTGGCAACCCTAGACAAAGGGTTTGAGCCGGCGAGTGCTGCAACATCTGAAGTACTGTGTACTTATATATTAAACTTTGAGCGAATATTAAAACTGGCCAAAATACTTTTGGGTATTGCCCTTAAGGCAATTACTTCCTGCACACTTACCCGCCCCTACCCTGCCTCGAAAACTGTTGTTTAACCCTGCGAAGAAAAAAAAAACTAGCCCAGTCGCATTAACACTACGCCCCGAAACGCAATTTTCTTTTAATTTTCTGTAATTGTTATGGCAAAGAAAAAAAGACAGAAAAAAAGTATGCGAAATGAAATGCGTGGCATGCAAATGAGAAGAGAAAAGCAGCGAAAGAAATGCAATGGAAGAAAAAGCAACAACAAAAGCAATCTACTAACAACGACAATGCTCATAACAATTATTATAATCATAAGCATAAACATTATATACAACAACAATTTTCATATTATCCTGTACTAATAATACGAAACAATCTCTTTCATCTCTCCCCAACCCGCCAACTCCCGCACCTGCCAACTACCCAACGCCCACACAACGCAGAACGGGACGCAACCATCCACCGATGTACACGGAGACGCTGCCCGGCGAAAGTTTGGGCCTGATGATTAGCTCGCTCACCAGCGAAATGGGCGGCCAATATTATTGTACGGCTTCATATGCAAATACCGAAATACTCCAGACAAACGTTACAATTAAAACTTATGGTAAGTAACTTGACTTTTAACAATTGCCCCCACAAATGGCAGACAGAAATTAACCAGAAATATTGATGCCTTACAATAACTAGAACAAAGGCACGAAAGCACCAATATAACATTTTTTAAAAAAAATATGGCTTACGAATGTTTGTGTATACAAAAGCGCAGAGCTCTGTCTTTCAAAATGAGCTACCTATCATTTCGAAGGTTATGGGGGTTATGTATGCAAAAAGTGAAATATGCGTAATATGTGCATACTATAAAAGAACCTTCATAGCAAATTAGTTGTATATAGCTCTTCGAATTTCCGAGCTATGCTTAAAAAACCATGTCTACTACTGCACTTAATACACGCGAAGAGTTAACAAGAAAAAAGGTGAAGATGCTAAATTTGACACTCAAATGATGTGAGTTTTTCAAGCTAAGAATGCGTCATTCAATAGAACTACAAACCTTTTTTAAATGTCCTTCGCCTATATTCAACATAATGTGAACACTTTGTAAAGATATAAAACTAGAATATTCAAAAGAATTTATAGAAATACGCTAGCTTTAAGATGTTGCAATATGGAAGAGGGGGAGAGAGAGAGGGAGAGAAAGGGAGAGAGACCGACAATCTTGTGAACCCTTAGAAAAGATTACACCTATCCCATAATACCTGCTCCCCTTAGAAACGAGCTAAAATCGTATCCATGCATGCCAACATTCTCAATGGAATGCACAACATTTCGAATGACGAGAATGACAAATACAAATATAATAAAAATACAAAGCTTTTAACAATATATCATATGCTTGCAATATGTTCCACAGAGTTGGATATACATATAGATTTTTGCTAGCAAATGTGCATTGAAGTTATCAAAGCGAACAGCTTTTTGTCGTATGTCATGCTCAAGTACAGTTGTGCATGCTGCAGCTAGAGAAATTACACGTTGAATTTAGTTCGATTTCATTTTATTGATGCATTGTGAATGCACAAAAGAACTACAATATGAATGAAAGTCCAAACAAAGACGTTACCAATAAGCAGCAGCAACAATACTTGGGCACAACAAGTGCCACACACACGTCCACACACACACACACGCCCACACACAGGCACACACAGTTTGCTGGCTCGTTAACTTTGCTGGCGAAGCTTTAGAAAAGTCCACATATGTGGCGATGGCGTCGCTTGCAGCTCTTTCTGAAAACTTTGACGAGATTGATTTTTCTAAGCAATTTAAAGTGCACACGGCCAAGCTCTACTTAGCCCCCAATCGACCACCCCGCGCGGTGGCAACTTTTAGAGCTACGACAGAACCTCACACACACACATCTATTGTTCAAATGGTACGCCAACTGCTGCAGTTGCTGCTCGCCCTCTCTCTCTCTCTCCTTCGCTCTCTTTATCAATTTCTTGTGCGACACATGCGGAATTTACCAGCTAAAGGCACTCAGCACTTCCCAGAAGCTAAGCGTTACGTCTGCCCCACGGCTGAGATTTGCTCGGCGCCCGACACCCCAACGAGCTGGTAACAAACTGTAAACTCGACAATCCATTGCGTTTGAAATGAAATCAAATATTTTGCTACGCAACAATTTGTGCCTCCGATATGGGAAGGTATACGGCAGCCAGTGTTGTTAGCTGTGTTCCAATTGTTGTTTCGGCCAGACACAACACGGCTACGATTTCCAGATGCAAATGCCTTGGGCCGCTCGTTTGATTGTTTGTTGTTTGTTGTTTGCATATTGGGACCGGGGTCGAAACAAGGCGTTGTTTGAGTGCGTGCCAGCGAGTTGGGTCAAAATTAGACAATACCCGCGTAAGAGGACTGCGTCCTGCACAGTGTTGGGCAGTGCCAAACAGCACGCAATACGGGCAACATTTTCAGATTGAAGCTGTTTACATTTGTCGAGTGCAGCGTGGAGCGGTAAAGCAGTCAGTAGTGTTGGTAAATGCCACACAGGCAATAAGTATTGGCTATTGTCGCGGTAGGCTATGGCAAATGTTCTTCGGTTAGCTTTTAATTGGTTAAATTAATTAAAGTGGAAGGCAGACAATGCCATTTGTAAAAGACAGTGCTGGTAATTGCCATTACTGTACTGTATAGTGCTGATTCATGTTTATAGGAGTGAAAGGAATTAGTAAATACTATAGTCAGGGCTGAGTAATATTTATAAACTGCACATCTGATGTATTTTGCTAGGCCTTAATATGAAACAGGGGCTAATTAGCAGTATTAGCAGTGCTAGTATATGCGTCAAGTGTTAGTAAAGCACCCAATTAGTGTTGCTTAATGGCCGTAGAGCTGCTTACGTTGTATTATGCAGCAAATCTTAGATAGAAAACATGTGATATTTTGAAAAATTGTCCAAAAATGTTAACTAGTCATAAAGGCCACGATAAGACTTATTTGTTTGCAGTGTGTAGTGTTGTTGAATTCACAAAGCTACGAGCAATTACACATAAACTCAACTCAATAGCAACTTGTACTCGAGCTGCCAAACCATGCTGACCAGCTTTATAACAACAAAGCCCCAGCCTCTGTATGCGTGTGTGTGTGTGTGTGTATGTGCCTGTATGCATGTGTGTTGACAACTCAAAAGTTGCATTTAGCTAAGCAAATAAGCGGCTAGTGAGAGGGGGGGAGGGGGTGTTTGTGTGCGAGAGAAGTGCAAATTGCAGGAGCAGTCAAATACGAATACAAGTGCGAGTACTTCGAGTAGAGGACTTGCAACTTGTAGTTGTAGGTGCTGTCTCACTATTTACACACACACACACTCGCACTCGCACTCGCACACTCACACACACGCAGAAAGACAGACACACGCACACAGAACACGGAGTCTGCTGTTGTTTGTGCCACTCACAGCTTAATATTTCAATATTTATGCTTTTAATAAATGCATATGCTACAAACAAACTTCCGTTGCAATGGCAGCTTCCGATGTTGCCAAAGTGCGCACAAGTTTTGCACTGGACCACGCTGTATGCCACACGCAGCTACCAAGTTACCGCCCCAACCCCCCAATTCCCAAGCCCAAACTCATTTTCGCTCTTTTACACCGACCCTCTGTGGCATGCTGGCTCTATTAAAGCGGCATCCCTCATGCAATGTGCAGCATTATGCAAGCATTTATTTAAAGCCCCAAAATTCCATTTAATGCAACAAAATGTACAAAATCTCTCTTAATAAACCCTAGTCTATAGTTCTATGGAGTGTGAGGGATTACCAAAAGCTGCTCACTTGTAATATGTTAGCATTTATGAACTATACCATATTGCATTCTCATCTCGTAAATATTTTAATTTTGTTTTCATAAGTGGAGGCCTAAGCCGATTTCATTGCTTTGAGCAGCGATTGCAAGTGCCGCTCACAAATTTCACTTAGCTTGCGGCACATGAATGTCTTTAAAATAGTTTAAATCAATTCTCAAATATCTAATTGAAACTGAGACTTTGGCACTCGTAAAATGTTGTTATGTGCTTTCAATTGAGCTATATTTGATGTGAATTCAAGCTCTTTATATTTGTAATTATTATTGTGGGAAAGAAGGTGTGTATGTTAAACCCTTTTTGGTATTTTAAAAATCTCAAACACTTGTGCAAACTCAGCATAAAACATTCTGCACACAACTGTACTCGCTGGCGCGCTAGCAAGCAGTTCGCTCGTAGTCTTCTGAAGGAGAAAACTTTTGAAATGAAAAAATGCCAGATTAATAATAAATAAATAAATATGCTATATAAATGCAGAACAACTAAACAAACTCTGATTCATAGAACAGAGTCAAGTTGAACGCAACTGTACTCGCTTGTGATCGTGCAAGCAGTGCATTAAGTGCACTCATGCATATGTAAAGCAGTTCTATGCATGACTAAGTAAGCAGTTGAACATATTTTACACAGCCTAACTACGTTGTCAAGTGGAGTTCATTGACACGGGACACTGGCTGAGCGTAAAGATTTCAAGGTTATAATTGTTGCTTTATCTTTTGACTTTCAATTGGAGTACAACTTGTTCAGATTTGCGAAAGTTATGGCGAATTAAGTACCTAAATCCTTAAGAACACCAACATTTTCAAATTTTTAAGAAATTTTGCTTTCTACGAAAATTTTTAAAAAAATATTGGTTGCATTAAACGCGTTTAAAAAAAAATTAAATTCTGCTAAAGTTTTGGGCCACCCTAAAGTGTATGGGTCCAACCTGAACCGAAATGAGTTTATGGCCGCAGTAGCTGCAATTGCTGCGGCTGTCTGTTTTTTAATAACTTGCTGCAGTTGCATTTATTTGTTATTGTTTTTTTCGGTTTTTTTTTTTTTTTGTTTCGATGCCGCAGCAAGTTTTTCAATAAGTTGCGAGTCATGCGACTTGCGACGGTGTATCCGCGTGTCCTTTGCCGTCCCCTGTCGTTGTCCTTGACGTTGTTCAAACTAATAATGAAATCGTAAACTAGTTCATCTCTTTTCCTTTTGCTTAGCTCCTTTTTTGGTTGCCTATTTTCTTTGCTTTTTCTTGTGTGTGTTCATTTTTATGTTGTTGTCGGACGTCAGCGAAAAGTGTTTGCACAACAAAATCTCACACGCAGCGACAATGCAGAGAGCAACAGCAGCAACAGCAACAGCAGCAACAACAACAACTGCAACAGTAACAGCAGCAACAACAACAACTGCAACAGTAACAGCAACAGCAACAACAACTGTTGCAACAATAAGAAGCTGCAGTTTGTTTGCCTTTGGCCCGAACTGTGAGTCCGGCTAAAGAAAATTCGACAGGAACTTTTATTTATTTTATATGTTGCGCACACACATGACAAGGGCGGCTTGGGGCGTGGCATGGCGACTTACACTGCCAATAAAATTGGTAAATGGAAAATGTTTTTTAACACAACTTCCCGTTTGGCTTTGGCCATAAAAACCCCGAAGGCCGGACACCAGGATTTGGCTCAAAAGGCTTTTGCCCTCGTCCACCCGCTGCAGTGGCTAGCAAGTTGGCTGTGTGTGTGTGTAAGAGTATGTAGTATGTATGTGTGTGAGAGAGTGAGTGTGTGTGTGTGGGAAAGAGAACACACACTCTCTGTGTGTGTTGTTTGACAGTCAACAGACAGCTGGGATAGATAGACAGATGGCTTGTTATTACACTGATTTATAAATAAACTGCAAATATTTGAGATGCACACACACACACACACGCACACAGCCATGCTGAATGCCAGCTCAGCAAATGCAGCTACATTTCCTCGTGCCTGTCACCACGCCCCTTCACGCCCACGCCCCACGACAGATTTCCTTGTTGTGTTTTGCTCTGCGCCCGCAAAAGTGATCTGCACAATTTCCGCTCAGGAAATAAGGCAAACTTCTGCTGTATTCCATCTCAAGCAGCACCCTCCCTCCCCACCCCTCCCCCCACACGAAACACGCTAAACCCCCCCCCCCCCTCTTAAAGCACCTCCCGACCGCATCCCCTTTCTGCAACAGATTGGCATATTATATATATTTCATTTTTACTGAGCACCTGCCACGCAAATGCATCTACATCTTAGCCGCAGCCAAAAAGTAGGCAGCACTTTTTTCTCTAACTGTTTCTAACTTCCTGAATTTGAGAAACCAGTTCTTTAGCAGAAAATAGCCCGAAATACTTAAGATTTGTTACTTTTCTCTTGAAATGTTAGTTATGATGATATTTCTCAATATGCAAAGAGCTAAGGCTCATATTGACCTTCTTTTATGCTTCCCGTTTCAAAGTCTGATCAAATTTAGGTATTTTATTGAGTTAGAGAAGAGACTATAAAAAGATGCTCTGAAAAGCTTTCAAAGTGCTCCGAAATACACTGAACCCATTTGCGGCTCATGAAGTCCAAGATATGGTAAAAGAAAATAAAGCATATCAATGTCAAACTGACCGAGTTAATAAAGATCTGAAAAAGGTATAGCAGGAGTCACGTTCAAAATGTCAAGTCTTTAGCTACTATAAGTCCCGAGGTCGAGGAGGTCAAAGGGGATGGAAGAACGGATAGATAGATAGACGGACATACTGTGTAATCATTAATAGACTTTATGGGCTTGGAAAAGCCTCCTGCTGCGCATTACATGCATTTACAGAAAACAATTACAGCCTTTATTTGCGCATTTATAAAATAAATCGGTTGGGTTTCCATAAAATAAGCACAGTTAGAAAGCTGAGTTCCACACGAACATTAAGCATTGTCATGTTAATATATTTAACAACAACTTTAACTACGTTCGAACCCTCGGTCAGAAATTTCGAAGGCAAAATTGAATTGGAAAATAAATCCCAAGAGCCAAAACTCATTGAAATCGCTTCGGATTTGACGCAGCTTAGTTGAAATTTCCAAAACTCTTAATTAATATTTATGCTCTCTTGCTAATCGCATCAACTTAATTGCAGTAAAAACGCAATTCAATAACAATTTACAAGCTATCATTAAGCCAAATGAATCGCAGGAAGTCACTGAACTGTGGCAATACCAGCTGCACCTGAGCTGCACCGATGCGAATGTTTGGCGCCCAATGTGGGTAACCAGCGTTGGGTGGAAATTGCTGCACAGCTCTGTGGATATATTTAAACAGTTGGTTGTGTAAAATATTTTACTTTACGCCTTAACTTTGAACCCTCAGCTTCGATTTGCTGGCTGACTGGCTGTCCAAGCTGCGGCCCGACCCAGCACTCCCCCGTGTTCATTTGGCCGTTGCCTGTTTGTGTTTGGATTGTGCGCAAGTATTTGATTTAGGAATTTCAGTTTGCAATTTTTTCAATTTCTACTGCTGCTGCTGCTGCAACCGAGATTTATTGGCATGCCTCGAAGACGAGGACAACGACGCCGTCGTCCGGCTCGTTAGTGACCCTTAGAGCGCATTGCGTGGATTGTGGCAAGTTGTTGGTCTTGGCTCATGTTTTGGGTTAGCTGAATGCCTCGTTACTTGGCTGCTTGGATTCTAGCTAAGAAATACGTGCACATATCATGGATTTTGTGCTCGATGTTTGTTTAGCTTTCATGTGCACGTGACAGTTTGTTTAAAATTATATTACGTATACGCCACGTTAGCTACAAATGTCAACAACTTGTCTAGAAATTTGTTTGACATTCCACTCTGGAAGAACTAGAGCTGCAACTGCTATTCTCTTTTCACTCACCCTTTTTCTCTGTTCTCCCTTCCAGTCGCTATTACCTGGACAAATGCGCCGGAGAATCAATTTCCCATACTAGGCGATGATTACGTGGTCAAGTGCGAGGTGAAAGCCGATCCCAATCCAACCATTGACTGGCTGCGCAATGGCGATCCGGTAAGTAATGCGACACCAGCCAACCTGGCCACGCCCCACTCACACACACACTCACTGACACTTCTCTTACTGCCACAGATACGAACAGATTCCAAGCACGTGGTACAGACACATGGCTTGCTCATACGCGACGTGGCCGAAACAGATGACGGCATCTACACCTGTCGTGCGGCAGTCATTGAGACGGGCGAACTGCTGGAGCGCACCATTCGAGTGGAGGTCTATATCGGTCCGGTAATTACACATCTGCCCGCCACACTGGAGGCTGTTGAGGGCAAACCGTTTGCGGCCAATTGCACGGCAACTGGTAAGCCGGTGCCGGAGATAAGCTGGATCAAGGACTCTGTGCAGCTGAATGTGGCGAATGCGGATCGCTTTAAGGTGGATGCCCAAACGGGTCTGTTGACCATCAGCTCGGTTACCCAGGAGGATTACGATACCTATACGTGCATTGCCAAGAACGCTGCCGGCGTTGTGGATCAGAAGACCAAGCTAAATGTGCTCGTCCGCCCCTCCGTCTATGAACTGTACAATGTGACGGGTGTCAGTGGCAAGGAAATTGCCATCACCTGCCGCTCCAAGGGACGTCCCGCACCGGCCATCACCTTCCGTCGTTGGGGCACCGAACAGCAGTACACGGCTGGCGTCCAAATGGACGATGAACGCATCATCCTCGAGCAATACTTTGATGAGGAACGCGGCGAGAGTACCGGCACCCTGCGCATTGCACGCGCCCAGCGCACAGACGACGGCTTGTATCAGTGCATTGCCAGCAACAAGGGTGACACCGCCTACAAGACCGGACACATTGCCGTTGAATTTCCGCCAGACTTTACGCACATGAAGGAATTGCCGCCGGTATTCAGCTGGGAGCAGCGCGTGGCAAATCTTAGCTGCCTGGCTATGGGCATACCGAATGCGACCATCGAATGGCGCTGGAATGGACGCAACATTAAGGATCTGTACGATACGAATCTGAAGATCGAAGGCACCGGACCACGCAGCGATCTCATTGTGCATCCAGTGACCCGGCAATATTATTCCGCCTACAAGTGCATTGCCACCAATATCCATGGCTCTGCCGAGCACGATATGCAGCTGAAGGAGGCGCGCGTACCGGACTTTGTATCGGCAGCTGTGCCCCGCCAGCTGACGGCGACCACCATCACCTTCGATATACGCGGCCCGGCCACAGAGCTTGGCCTGCCCATACTGGCGTTCAGTGTACAATACAAGGAGGCACTCAATCCGGACTGGTCCACGGCTCTGAATCGCAGCTGGTCACCCGATTCGCCGTACATTGTTGAGGGACTGCGTCCACAGACCATGTACAGCTTCCGTTTTGCGGCACGCAACCAGGTCGGTCTTGGCAATTGGGGCGTCAATCAACAGCAATCGACGCCGCGTCGTTCCGCGCCCGAGGAGCCCAAGCCATTGCACAGCCCCGTACAGAACGATAAGGAGGAACCGGTCGTCGTCTCACCCTATTCGGATCACTTTGAGCTGCGCTGGGGCGTGCCCGCTGACAATGGTGAGCCCATCGACCGCTACCAGATCAAGTACTGTCCGGTAAGTAGTGCACTGCAAAAAATAAATGAAAAGACTTTGGTTAGCAACTAATTTGGCAATTTGCACTTAATTTCTTCAGGGCGTTAAGATGGCAGGCACCTGGCACGAACTGGAGAATCGCTGCAATACGATCGAGGTTGTGGAGACCACATCGTATCAGATGACCGATCTGAGCGGCAATACGTATTATCGCATCGAGCTGAAGGCACACAATGCCATCGGCTATTCATCGCCGGCATCTATTATTATGAAAACGACCAGAGGTGAGTCCGATTCAGCTAATAACAATCTTGGCACATTGCTCTATTCGGCCGGCTTCAATTCCGGCGTCAGTTCGCTACACAAACAACTCACAATCACAACAACAAGAACAGCAACAAGAACAACAACATCAACAACAACAGCAACAACAACAATCATTGCGCTGGCCACAACAATCAGCATTACTCTATTTAGTGTCCTAACCTCAATGTTAGTGTAAGGCAAAACAAATTCGATATCGATTTGTTTCGTTTTACTTGATCATGAACCATTTGCATAATCCATGTAATTGAATATCTATCGAGAAGAAGCAAAAAGCAAACAAAACAGAAGAAAATCTAACATAAACTTCAAATCGAATCGAATACGATTGCGTTATCGAGCACGTTCTCGATCGCGATATCTATCGAACACGTTATCGATCTTAGAGCATAACAACAAGATCAGCAAAAATACTTACACAACTTCTTGAAATACTTGCATACTATCTATCAATATACATATAGACATATTTAAATATATATAAAACGGTTTATATATATATATATAAATATGAATAACTATTTTTGATCGCTCTATTTAACGTATCTAATATATATCGTATATATTTATACAACATGCGTTATACAATTAGCGAGTACAATAACGTTTGAATACATTTTTGTAGTGTTTATTTTTTGCGTTTCCAATTCAACTTCTGTTTTTATCTCAGTGTATTTATTGATTTTTTCCCAGTCTACTCAGTAATTCTTCTTTTTTTCTTTCTGTTTTTATGTGTATGTGTGTGTGCTATAAATACTCTGTAATTGTTCAAAATGATCCCAGTTATTTTTTACTGCGTAATTTCCTGATTTACGAATTCGCAGTGGATTTTATTTTGTTTTTTTTTTGTGTTTCAATTGTCGTGAACTTTTTTGTGCTGTGCCAAAAACAATTTTCGTTGCATGCTTTTCTGCGTTTACGTCTAGCTAACAACTAATGCTAATTTTGTACCGGCCCCCAACCCCTTAGTTCCCCCCCCCCTCTACCCACAATTGTACACACAATCATTATTAAAAGCGATTTACATTCCAAATAAAAGCAACAACGAATCGCATTTGCTGGCAATTTTGTCCGATCAGCTAGCGTTTTGCAACACTTTTTTTTAGTACTCAACACTGAGCTAAGTCAACGAAAACGCAAATGCATTGAATAAGCATTATAGAAGTAAAAATTTGCTCACAAATACACACGCACACGCACACACACACACACACCACATACACAACATCAAAGAATTCAATATGCAATCGTCTTGTGAGCTGTGCTCTCTCTCGCTCTCCCGCTCATACTCTCCCACACTCTTCTGTGTATCGCGTGCTCTCTTTTGTATACCGTGTTTTTTTTTTTTTTTTAGTATGTGTGTCGTCTGAGTTTTTTTTCATGTTTTTTTTTTAACTACAATTCATAAGCATTTACTTAATTAATAATTTAAAAATGAAATAAAAGTTTTTAAAATTAGTCGAATTATTTTTTATATTTTTGTGTGTGTGCATTCATCATATTTTGAATTTTAAATGCATATTTGTAACAACTAATTTTTAAAATATATTAAAAAATGAAGGAAAAACAACTTATAAAATGAAATGAAAATACTTTTGTTAATTGTAATACATATTTCAATATAGTTCTAAAATCTTCGTATTGCCCATTAGTTTGCTTCATAATTTTTACTTTTACTTATAAATTCTACATTTTTTCCTTTGTATGTACTGCGACTATTTCTTTAGTTAAATTTTGTATTAAGCAACAACATTATTAAATTTACATTTAAATTGAAAACAAAAAACAATTAATGAATAAATATTGAAAAAAAAAAAAAAATAAACAATCATAATTTGCAATGGCAACTGTTTCATTTTTTAATACTCATAAACAACATTTTGTTATGTTTGTTGGCTCTTCGTCTCGCTACTTGTGTCTGTCTCTCTTTCTCTTACTCTCGCTATCTGTCTCTCTCTCTCTCTCTGTAACTATATTTCTTGATCTGTTCTACCACGTGTGTGTGTGTCTCTTTCATCATACATCTCACTCATTCTAATTAGCTGCTTGTTCTCTTTTTTCATACATTTTGTGCACTCTTTTGTTCGTGTGTAGCTGGCAGCGCTGCAAAACTATCGATAAAACTATCGTCTACGTGAAATAAGAGATATCGAAACATGCTTGTTTTAGTTAAAGTAATTAAGATTGATCTGAACAAAAGCCAAATAAGAAACAATCTTAGACTAGTATTAAATTATCAATTCACATCCATGTTAGAACTATCGATAGTTTTGCGAACCGCCATAATTTTGCATTATATATTTGTGTATGTGTGCGTGTGTGTATTACATTATTCAACTTGCTGTAAAGCTCTCTCATACATATTCCTTATGCCTTCTCATAACATATTCATGCTCTTTACTATTATATTTTATGTATCTATACCTAATTTATTTAACTTATACTAACTATGTCTTATCAAATAATTAGTGTCTGCATCTATATATAATAACTGCATAGCATAATCTACTAATAGATATAATTAACACTCTAACACAATACGTCTAAAAACTGTAACACTTTGAGAGTAGCTCTCGCACTGTAAGCAAGCAGTGCAAACTGTATTGTGTGTGTACCCAGCAAAGAAATACTCTTACCAACTAACCTCAAATCGAATACTCACACCCACAATACACACACATACACGTATATATAAATATATATATGACACACACCCACATTATGTTTGAGTCTTAGCAAATATCAACGTCGTCGTCTCTTGATCTATTTAAATCACAAAACAATCAAGCAAGAAAGAAAACCAACAAAAAATATTCTTTTGTGTGTTTCCTTTTCTTCCTTTTTTCTTCTACTACTTTTCTTTGTTTTTTCTCTCTTTTACGCTGTGTGAAATACAAAAAAAACAAACCACAACAAAAACAATCCCCAAATCGAATGCTATGATACCAAAAACCAAACCATTTAAAACCAAAATTGAATCCAACATCAACAAAAACAAAACACTGTAAACTGCTGCCGCACAAACTGAACCTGTTCCGAACCTCTACGTCAAAATGATCCTCCCTCCCCCACATCCGTCGAACAAAAAAAAAACAGACAAACCGTATCCGTATTCATCAAGTAGCGCCACGAATCGACTGCTTTCCAACAATGCACAACTGCTCGCGATGCCGCTGCTACTACTGATGCTTTTGATGTCGACGCGCACTGCTTAAGCGCTTGTAGTAAGCCAAGCAGTGCACGGAACAACCGGAGGATGATGCTTCCAAGCCTGCCGCTGCAAAATTTTTGTTTCGTTTTCTTCTATGTTATGTTTTTTTTTTGTTTTCATTTATCTGTCGACAATTTGTATATAATAATAAGGAAAATACCAAAAAATACTAAATATGAAATACACAGACAAAACATATGCATATACTATAGCATTTTGAGCTATAAACGTGAATGTATTTCGTACCAACATGAATACCACATATGATAATTACTTATCACTAGGGTGTTAAAAAAAATATCTGCGCTATAAAAACACTATATGATTCCATTCAATGTACAAAATACAAACTGCTAAATGCCAAAAAAAAAAAGGAATATGAAGAAAATACGAACATTTAAGCATATACCATATATACAAGTACTTATGCACACACAAACGCGTTTTTAAACTTAAGTATCAACAACTTGTTAAGCCACACAAAGGTTTATTTAGAGTTTTAGTACGTATTGCAGACATATGTATGCACTATTTCAGTTGTCACATATGTATTAAAGGTCAGTTCACTTCCATTTGCCTTACCTACGTAACTACCTTATAAAAGCTGCTCAGTTTTCTGTTGTTTAGTATGCAAAAATTGATCATGTGGATAAAGCACTGCCAAGCCAAAGCAATTAATGTTGTTCATACGCCGAACCACATTACTTTAGAGAGTATTATAATAATATAACAAAGCCCAAACTAGATCGTTTGTTGATGAGGCACAACCTATAAAGGGCAGTCAAGTGCATTCAATTTCGATTCAATTCTTCAGTTATAGCTATATCATAGTTTTTCCAGCGAGAAGAACACTTTCGTTTTTTTACGCAATATTTCTTGGCTGTGATCTAGACAAAACTGTCGAATGGAATCGAAACTGAAATTGCAAATAAGCCTCTGAAGTTTTATAAAAACTTTTCTTTTAGATTAAACTATACCATCTGGCAGTTCTTTTATGCAGCCAACGATAAGTATCCTATGCTTCCTTCGTTCTGCTAGAAAAAAACCACCGTTATAAAGCGCCAGTCAATCCCAAGTTGTCCGTTTCATGTTTTGGGTTTTTCTAGTATGTGACTTAAGAGCTGTTTGTTTTTTTATTGAACGTATACGTTAAGGGGACAATAAGTAACTACAAGTAAAAAAAAAAAGAAAAAAACAAAAACAAAAAAAAGAAGATAAAACACATAAAGACTTAGTGAATACCAAGTTTGAATCCATATTACGGGCTGATTTAGACTCAAAGATAACCAAGCGTAGCCCACGGAACCCTTTACAACCCCAAACGCATGTTTCCAACTACGAATTTTTTTCACATGGTGTATTAAGCTTAAAGTATTCAAATTTTGTAAATGTTTGTGCTCATTGAATTATGGTATATAAACCATATTTATATGCATATGAATGTATTTTACTAGTTACATATAACTGTGCATTACGTGTGCTAAGAAAAGATAAAAAAAAGGTACTAAAAACATTAAAAAAAACACTAAAAATACATCACAAGCAAAGACAAAGCAGTTCAATTTAGATAAAATATTCCTTGTATACAATTTATAGTCAAAAACTAAAACTTTTTCTAGCAAAATAAATATATATATTTATATATATATATCGTGAAACACTATTCCAATTTGTAACTTTACAATATACAAAAGTTATATACTTACCATAGTTAGTGAATAATTCAGCCCGCCTAACGTTGCTGAGCAGATCGTATCGTATCGTGTTGTTTTTTTTTTCTAGCTTCGAGAGGCATAAATAAATATTAACCTAAAATTATACGAAAATAAATACACATAAATGACTGGCCAAATAGCTTGAGATTCGCCGTGAGAGGCGTTAGCTGTAGGACAAGCAGTTGATAAAGCAGTTTAAACTAGAATCTAACTAACGCAGAACTGTATATAAGTTGAATGCCACACGGTTCATAACTCACATGCATGCAAGATTAGCTAAAGCTATCTATGTATTATGGCACGTTTTTTTTTCCATAAGCGTAAACATTCTGTGAAAGTGGACAGAATTTCTCAAATTCTCGTTGTCAGTCAAAATGTGCCAGGCTTAGGTCTAGGTAACTATCAAATATATGACGAGCAGTGAACACTTAACCATGAACCCTTAGAACAGGTGACCAATGTTTGAAAGAGAGATTATAGGATATTTCTAAGGTGTTCTCAGTCACACACGACCACACACACACACACACACACACACACCCAAACACACCTACACACCAAGCAGTAGAAAAAGTAAAAATGCGTATGTGTCATAAATGTTGTAAGCAGTCTTTAAAACAAAACAAAAACAAAAACTACAAAGTAAGCAGTTCATTTTGGATAATAAAGACAACTTTAACAAACAAGACCCTCTTCTATGTGTGTATGCGTGTGTGTGTGTATATTTTATAAAAGATGTTCAAAGCGCACAGGGTTGCAGTGCGCTTGTAGCGATCGAATCGAATTAATCGATCCACGAAAATTGACTGCTGATAATAACGTTTAAATTGAATACCGCTGCACAGCTGCCAGGTGTGATATACCGACAGGTAATATGGATATGCAACAAATTAGCTCGTTTAAATAATTACTAATAGTTTTATATAAATACATATATATATTCAACAATTCATACAATTAACCGATTATAACACAAAACGCATTCGATTATAATTTAACAAGCGACTAACATAAAAACAATACAAAACAGCATAACGGGAAGCGAATCCCACTCTAATCCACAGACAACAAAATGTAACTAACTAAATACAACATTTTCTTATCAATTTTATTAAGTTTAGTTGTAGCTCCCAAGCAATATATAAATCCACATATATATTTAAAACGTGCAGCACTCAAAATCAAGTAATTAGATATTTTTAGCAATTATTGTAACCACAAAAAAAGTCAATTTTGTTAATGTTTTTGCAAATTGGTAAGCAGAGCGCAAATTTGTATTAAAAAATTTACAATTCTTTCAATGTTATCGTTATCGTTATCGTTATGTACACACAAAACTGCTTCACACACACACACATACATATGCATTCCTTGTACAAAGAAAAACTTTGAACCCTAAGTTGATATAAAAAATGCTTTTGCTTGTATATTTTTTGGCTTATTGGCGTTTCCTCTTTGCATTCAAAGCGAAACTCTTAAGTTTTCCTGCCTTATCGTGCGCTATCTCACTCACTCTCTCTCTCTCTCTTTCTCTCTTTCTCTTACTCTGACTTTTTGACAATATACATACGTCTCTCCCTGCCCCATTGAAGGCTGCATGTTTTATTTATACCTTCCTTTTTGTTTATTGATATTCACTTGCTTATCGATAATTTATCGAAACTACTTTTTATTATTTCATATCGAATTGGTGTACTATAAGTTTTTAATTTCTCTTATTTATAAAATGTATTTAAGATTTAGCTGTTTTTTAGCTTGTTTTTACCTAACATGCCCCATTTTAATTTGATTTTCATTTTCTATTTCTCCTTTTTTTTTTTTCAAATACACACACAAAAATGTAAAATATGTTTATACAAAACTCGAACTCAATATGAAAACATACCAAAAAAAGAAAAGAAAACAATTTACACACATTTTGAAGAAAGTGTTGAATGCTGAGCAAGATGAGAAGCAAATTTGTAGCTCGAGTTGAAAAGGTAGTTTTGCTCTTGGCTGTCATCCATGCCAAATCGCAGCTGGAATGCAGCCAATAGCTGAAGTATGCTATAGTATTTAATTTAGTATTAAATATATACCACTATTTATTAGCTCTATATGCAAGACTTGAATGACAATTTACTAATCAAGCACTCTACCATCTCCTCACACGCTCCTTTTCCCCACCCAAAAAAAAAAAAACAAAACGAAACCAATCTCTTTCACACAGGCAACGATGTCATCCAAGTGGCGGAACGTCAGGTTCTCTCCTCGGCGGCCATTGTGGGCATTGCCGTTGGCGGCGTGCTTCTTCTACTCTTTATTGTGGATCTTCTTTGCTGTGTGACCGTGCACATGGGCGTCATGGCCGCCATGTGCCGCAAGGCCAAGCGTTCGCCTTCGGAGATCGATGACGAGGCCAAGCTGGGCAGGTAAGCATCTATAGATACCCTATAAACTAGCTGGACTCGGTTGGGTCTTTCAAATCACATAATATTGCACTAAAAATGATACGAATTTACAAAATATAAACAAACAAAAATACTAAAAAAAATCCCCAATTCAAAAATTTGCATTAAATCTTTGTTCGTTTGTTTGTTTATTTTTCTACCTCTTTTCGATTTGCACCGCTCAAAACAAATTCGACTAAAGCCAAAATTCTCAACGCCCGGATTTCGAATACAATTGGGTCTATGCGCGTCCTAAATCGTTGTTGTTCAATCGAAATTCACTGATATCCGTTTGAGCCGAGAACCAAAAGAGAACGAAAAAAAAAGCAACAGCTTCTCACCTAAAAAAAATTCTCCTTCACCCCTTCGTCCCATTTTTAGTTACAAGTATTTCGATTATTAATTCTCATTTCTAGTGCAATATTAAATATGTTTACAATTTGCTAAACACGCCACATAAAACAGACGAAATACCGTATTCAATTTTCTATTATCCCACAATACAAAAAAACACAAAAGCTTATTTTCAATTTTACCTACAGAATTGTTCTGTATCAAATCATCTGTTTCCTTACTTCGTTAGTCAACACTTTTCTTTAGTGTTGTGTGTGTGTGTGTGTGTGTGTGTAATTTTCTTTATTTTTGTGTACCATAACGAATTCCACTGGCCGAATACTGTCATCATTCAAAGCATGTGTTAAAATCAAAGTTGCGATTCTTGTATTCGGATTGCGTTTCTCCTCCATTTTTGTGAGCTTAGCAATAAATGACAAGAATGATGACCAGTAATTAAGCAGATGATGTCATCATTCAAAGAATATACCAAATGACAATGACATTCAACACCAAATGAATATGTCTTTCTATTCATAAATGCTGTCACTCCGGCAGAGACTTAGAGACTCAGAGCTAATCGCTTCCAGTTAAATAGAATTGTATGCAACACATTTTGAATGAACCCTCGCTGAGAGACACGTAGAAAGACCAGTGGAATGTGTTTATGACTCAACTTTAGTTAAATAGTATGCAGCCAGCCATCAAGTTCTAGATTTTGCTCAATCTACAACAAGAGCCACCCTTTCACTCGAACATCTATCAAGTGCCTTGTCTGCCATTTAATACTATTTAGTATAGTTCCTTTTTTTCCCTATAGTACTTACTGGTACTGGCTGCGGCTAGATCTTTCTTTATCCAAATATATCTTTATATTTATGCGTATTATATCGTACATTGTTTGACTTTCCTTTGTTATGTTCATCAGCACATCAATCATTAATACGAGTCACAGACAAATATACACACATTCATATTTAAAAAAAAGTAAAAACAAAAAAATACATTCACAACATTATCACATTGTCACATTTATCGACGCTCCATACTATCTATACTCTCTCTCTTGATTTTCCCAACTTGTTGTTACCACATCAAACTCATACGTACTGTACCAATCAATCAAAATCATTCAACACAAAACCAACCAACCAACTAAATCTATCAAAATTCCAACAAAATCCAAAATTAAATCGATAAAATATGAATCGAAAACGAAAAAAAAAAAAAACCATCCAAATTACCATCATCTAACCAAGCAGTCTTTATGGTTGGCGTTTCCCGCTACCTTATTGCAGTGGACAGCTGGTTAAGGAGCCACCACCATCACCGTTACCACTGCCGCCGCCAGTTAAGCTCGGCGGCTCACCAGTGACATCTCCATTGTACGTACATTGATCGTTTTGTTTGCATCATTTTTTTTTTTTTTTGCGTAGCCTTGCAGCACTTCTTTCTGCTCTTTCTCGCTTGCGTAGTTTCTCTTTGCGCTCTCTTTTTTCGTTTTCCAACACTGTATTCATCAAACACTTTTGTCGTAGCACATCTGATCAACAGGCACCGCATGTAGCTTTAGTGCTAGCTCGTAAGCCTTGTAGCATTTAGCTTATGTCCGTGGTAAGTAACAAACTAGGCATGTGTGTGTGTCCTGTAGCACTAAGCTTTCGTTGGCTTTGCTTTTATTAGCTGACTGATCTAGCCTCTACAGCTCTTGCGCTCTTTCGTACTCTAGATTTGATATCAAGTTCTCTTCACTAATCCCAAGCTCTCAACTCCACAGGGACGAAAAGGAGCCACTGCGCACACCCACCGGCAGCTTGAAACAAAACTCAACCATCGAATTCGACGGGCGATTTGTGCATTCACGCAGCGGCGAAATCATTGGCAAAAATTCAGCGGTGTAAGCGACGCGACCAAATGAGCTGCATCAAAAACGATCTGCACAAAACTTGCAACAGAGAAAAGTATTGAAAAGTCGCCCAACCCCCCCCCCCCCCCCCTTTCACTTTCGCGAAAAGTATAGAAGGAGCCGCAGCACCAAACCACAAACATGACTAACCCAATTACCTGTCAACCCGAATAAACGACACGAACAAGTTGCGAATTACAGCAGCAAAACCAAAGCCAAAGCTGTGGGAACAGCGTTAAGAATACTGTTTTTTGATTGGCATATGAGTTGGTGTTCAGTTAAAATTTAAGTTCTATACAATCTTAACTAAATGTCTTACTATATATACGATATCTAAAGCATACATAAATAATATTTTAAGCTCAGTACAACACACACACACACACACACACACACACACACACACACACACAACATACACTCATATGTCCATGTTGCTTCACTTTGTATTTGCTGCATAGCTTTTTTTTTTTAAATTGATTCTTCAGACTATATTATTGACTATATATGGCTGACTGGATTCTCAAAAAAATATTTAACAATTTAGCTTAAGATCAAAACAAAATTAAAACTTAAATTAATGCCTTAAAAACATGAAGAACAAAAATGAATTAATGATTACATTTATTTAGCATTTAAATGAGATGGGGCAAGGAGCAAGAGAATGGGTTTAGAATCATACACAAAATATTAGTTTAACTAACTTAAACATGCCATAAATAAGTTTTACAATTAAGTTCAAGCATTTTCACAAAGTTCTTTTCGATAACTAAACACCACGTTCACCCATTAATTTCGTAGTACTTAAACCACTTAAACAAAAGACTTTGCGGGCATTTGTTTCTAAAAACACGAACATGACAAGAAATTACTGAACACAATTTTAGTTAAGAAGTCATTCACATTCAAATTTTGGTTTCCTATTGGTAAATTGATATACTTAATGAACCGTACGAATCACATAGATATATACAAATATATAATGTATGTTAGTTATAAACAGAATGCTCAATATAAAAGGGATGATATGTAAAGGCTAACAAGAAGTAGAGTTTTGCGTAGGCAAATGTAGATTCAAACAAACGTTGAACTGCTTGGCAAGTACAGTTGCGACAAACGTTGTACTGCTTGGCAAGTACAGTTGCAACAACAGCTGCAACTGCTTTGCGTACGAAAACTGCCAAAACAAAGATAGGAATATGGAAAAACGGAAGAATTAAGAAATGTTAGCAAAAAAAAGAGAATTTGCAGTTCAATATAAACATAATTAAAATACTTCAATGAATGTGTACTAAATAGAATGCATAATTCAAAGCGTAAATGTTTAATTATGTGTGTGTGTTAAATGAAAGTTTCAATAAGCTGAAATCAACTACGACAATGCCAAACAATTTGTATTAATTTTGTTTAAATTACTCTCTAATTCTTTTAAGTTATATTTTCATGACATTCTGTAAAGAAAATAAAAAAAAAAGCCAGCAACAAATGCAAATTATGAAATTATGTACTCAATTAATTAATTACATTTTTAAAGTTATTTCCTCCACCTTTTTATTTAGATTTTATATGTGTATGTAAAAAAAAAAAAAAGAAATACAACAATTTGTAAGTAAGAATTTAAATAATAATTATTTAAATAATGAATATATATGTACATGTATTGAAATTTAATGTGTAAGTATTTTTTTTTACACGAATAAAAAAACCAAACATGAAAAGCTTAAAAACGAAAAAAAAATTATATGTATACACGAAGAACTACATAAATATATATATGAAAAAACAAAAAAAGAAAAAAGCGTTTTTCGTTTATTATTTTCTTTTGTTTTTAATTTTGATCTTTAGTTCGTCCTGTTTTGTAGATGTTTGCCAAAAGCTTTTGTAGCTTCTGTTGCCAGTTAAGCCAAGCGCCTTCTCAGAGCTTTTTTACCTACTATATAAATAAAAATCTAAATAATATATACAAATATTATACAAACAAAACAAAATGGAAAAACAATCTAAGAGAACTGTAAGAAATTGAATGCAAAAACAAAAACGTAACCAAACAAAACATTTTTTGTGTGTTTATATAAGAAATTTAATAAAATAAAAAGAAGAAAAAGAAAACTATCAACATTTAAAAAGCTACACAAGATCGAAATTGTAATTATGTATATGATCAAAAAACTTTGGAACTGCTTTTGGGAGCGCAGCATATAAAATATGGCCAGAAAATGAGAAATTCGACATGAAACAATTGACACAAAAACTTCAAATGTGTAGCTTTTTACAAAATACAAAATGCAAATTTAATAAGAATAACTGAAAGAAGAACAAAAATCAACAAACAAAGAAGAATAAACCACGAAACTGAATCGTTGGAAAATAAAGTCGTATTTATCAAAGAAAAGTTTGTTTATTTTTTTTTTTAATAAAAACAACACATTTTCAAAGTGTTTCGGTTTGGGTCTGGCTTCAGTTGCTTTATATGCCAAATTGATTTAGAGGCCAAGCCATGAACAGAAAGTCAAACCTTATAAAAATCGGATGAGATTTGACCGAGTTATGGGTTGGGAAACTTTGACCTATTTCTATATAAGATATTTGAGGGTACCATTTTCACTTGAATTTGGACCAAGAATAATGCTGCCAGGTTTAGATGCCAAATTGATCTAGGGGCCAAGCCATGAACTAAGAGCCAAGCTCCATGCAAATCGGATGAGATTTGTCCGAGTTATGGGGGTGGGGAATTTTGACCTATATATAGAATATTTGAGGGTACCATTTTCACATGAATTATTCACATAGATGCCAAATCGATTTAGAGGCCAAGAAACAGAAAAGTTATTAAACAAGAAGAAAGAAGAGCAATCTTCGGCACGCCAAAGATTTAATACTCTGACCCAACCTTTTCATATTTCTTTCCTTTCCTTATAGTGCTTTGACCGTATCTAAAAAGCACAGGGAAAATAGGTAATGCCTAGAATGGTTAAGATATCTTGAAAAACAAAAAGTTTTTCATACAAGAACCTACTTTTCAACCGATCGTTCCTATGGCAGCTAAACGATATAGTGGTCCGATCCAGCCGGTTCCGACATATGTACTGCGTGCAACAGAAAGAGGCATTTCTCCAAAGTTTCATGACGATATCTTTGAAAGTGAGAGACTAGTTCGCATAGAAACAGACAGACGGACAGACGGACGTGGCTGTTGATACTGATCAGGAATATATATACTTTATGGGGTCGGAGATGCCGCCTTCTATGCGTTACACATTTCACGACACCATTATAATGCCATCTGCAAGGCTACAAAAATACTTAATCTTTAAATACTATTCTAAAAGTCAAGTGCGCTGAGTCTAGCTCTTAAAACCTAAGAGATTTGCTCAAAAGACAGGACTCCGATATCGATTTTTGTCGATTTCTTGAAAACGGGGCAAATTATCGACTATCGGAAACTAACTCGTACTGCGCGGGCACTAGGAAGACCTATGTTCAAAATTTCAAAATTTCTCTAGCTGTAACAGGTTCTGAGATCGACGCGGACGGACAAACGGACGGACGGACAGACGGACGGACAGACAGACGGACATGGCAAGATCGACCCGGCTGTTAAATCTGATCTAGAAAAAATATACTTCCTACATATGTATGTTACATATTACGTGATTCATGACAAGATTATAATACCGTCGACAAAGGTATAATAATATTCCACAGCTGCGGGCGGAACTATTCTTACGATTCGTGCCGCGCATTGATCAGCAGTCAGCTTAACAAATGCGTATAGAATCTTAGCTGCATCGCATCGAAACAGAATTCTCTTACAATTGTATTTGGCAATGCTTAATAGTTACTCAAATAAAATATATTTGGAAATGTGATCGGCAGAAACAACAGAAGAGCTCTGAACACATTTGGTTTCTTATGATATGTTAGTTGACATTATTTTTAATTGGACACTGGCCAAATAGAATACAAATATAATACACAATAGACTGAGTTGAGGCAAAAAATAGCAAACATACATAAATTCTTGGATGGACCCGATGCGAGCGGCTAAGCTGGCGCGGCTAAACCTCAATGCCCTCGTCGGAGCGCTTGCCCTGGCGTTGGAGCATCTCCTCGGCATTGAGTTTGGTTTTCTCGGTGCGCGTATGCCAGACGAGAACATCGCGACAGTTGTTGGCCAGCGGCTGCAGCTGATCACTTGTGGTCAGATATCGCAGGATTTCGCTTTCCTGATAGCCGCGCTGCACTTCATAGGAGAAGGCGGCCTGTGGATACTTGAAGAACAGATCCATGCTGATGCCAAACGCCGCCATATCAATGGGAAATGGACGCTCCGGCCGCCAAGCAGCGTTGAAGCCAATCACTTTGTTGTCCTCATTGAGCAGCGGTCGCTCCACCATCAGACCGCCGACCAGGCCGACGGGCCAAATGCCCACACGTCCCGGCTTGATTTTCGACATTTCAACAAACAGCTCCAGCGCATAGGAGTTGTCATCGTCCATAAAGAAGACAATGGCATGACGATCCACATCGGCGTGGCTGCGCAGCCAGGTTAATGCCAGGTTACGCTGCTCCACGCCACGTGGCTTTATCCAATTGGGATCCTTGCCCTGCAGCTTAAATTCGGGCGGCGTTTTGATATTCAACTGGGTAAACCGATTCGTCAGACCGGCGCGCAACAGCACATTCCGCACCAGAGCCGTTGTGCTATTGGCATCCTCAACAATGATCCAGTGCAGATTTGGCACCAGCATAAACAAATGCGAGAGCCTACAATTAATTGGATTTATTCAGTTGACCCGCCCAGCAAATGGTTGACACTCACCTGGTTAGCTCGGCTTTTTGTGCCGGCCGCGCATACGTCGGCGTTATGGCATAAATTTTGGGCAACGTGTCCGTCAGAGATTTCGTGTACATGGCCTGCAGATATTCGGGGCCCTGGCAGGTGCGTTTACCGTTACGATGCACCATGAGCAGCACAAAGATAAACACTATGATGAGCACGAGCACTTGACGGGGACGGATGCGTACCTCGGACATGTTGGCAATCGTGATCGCATCTAATTTTCATAAGTAACCTTCACCCCAGCGAGCAATCACTGCGTCAAAGCAAACAAAAAAAAAAATAAAATAATAGAAATAAAAGAAAACAAACATAAATATGTTGAGCCGCTGCTGCTGCTGCTGCTGTTGCTCATGGTTATAGTACCTAAGAAGTCCACTACAGCCTCAACATAAACACAGTTTAATGCATTGGTAAAATGAAATTAGTTTAAACGAAATAACAAAAGTTTATACATCTTAACAAAATTGTGCTCTTGGTAAAAACAGACATACATATATATATATATCGATATACCAAGCATAACGATAAGTTGTGCAAAATATCGCGATGTTTTCCATCGGAGCAAACATCAAGCGCGATGTTTATATCGTAAGCAAGTAAGTATCGCTTGGCCGCGCGCCAAATTCAAATGCAGTTTATTACGCAAAACTAAATTCAGCAACTGACACCATTTCGGTATTAAAAAAAAAATGTTTTTAGCTTTAATTTTCAATACGACATTCATAAATATACTCAAGGCACGCTCGTATCTGCTTTAACCATTTGTTGTTGCATGCGCCATCTGCTTTAACCGCTTGCTTGTGCATATCATCGATATATCGATACCCTGGCAGCTGAAACGATGCCTGCGAGAGGCGGTTAATTCAAATCGATTTTCAAATGAAAGGCTTGGCATACCTTTGAAGCCGTTTAAGCCCAACAGCCAGAAAGCCTGAACTACAATATGAGTTGAAAGCTTTGTTTTTGAATTCAAATCGAAGGAGACCTGTAAAATGAAACAACCTTAGTCCGGCATTCACAACAAAAATTCATAGCGACAACACACTCATTATTCTAAAACCAAACATATTTATATTTTCTACCCGTAGACAATAGGATACACTAAAATAGACAAACATGAGCGATACGAATGGTAAATATTGGCCGCACAAATGAACCGAAATCCCGCAATACAAACAGTCACCAATTTTCGCACAGATGTTGAAAAACAAAAACTTAAATTTACCGGCTGCTGCAGCTTGACGGACGGCGAATTGTCCAAGCTATACAATCTGGATATGCTCACCGACGAAGAGCTGGCCGCTGTGGGCGTGGAGCGCTATTCACTGATCGATGATTATCGTCACCTGCACGAGATGTCGCAGATGCGCGAACTGGAGCGCCTGCCATCGCTATCGAAGCGTTTCGTTTCCAAGCTGAAGAGGCCAAAATTTAAATCGCCACGCAAACCGACAAAGCCATTCAATTACGATCTATTGAATAAGTTCTTTCGCTGCATGCAATCCGAATCTGTGGCATTCTGTTGTTTCATGGAACAGGAATTGAAAATTATCACCGATTTTCAACGAGATACCAAAATTCTGCTGTTGTCACCCAGGGAGCGCGAATTCGCTCGCTATGAATCATACTTTGATTATCTGGATGCATTATACCAGAGCGGCGAACAGGATCGCGTCATATCAATTGTGGCCAAGGTGATGATCAATTTCCATCGCGATCCGAATCCGGTTAAGCTCCTGCCCGGTTTCGGGCGCGGCTATGGGCCACATTATACACGCAATCGCACTGTTGTCGTTAAGCATAAGCCCAAATTTACCAATTTTTAGAAATCCAACCCCCTACCCCTCCATCCCCCACCAACCATCTATGTCAACGAAACATTGCAAAATTAAGCTTAAAAAAAAATAAAAAAAATAAATCAACAAAAAAAATAATTAAAAAAGAAATCTTTGAAAAAAATACAACAATTTTTGCAAAACTCTTTTGGGCATTAGCTCGGAATCCAAATTGAGTGCAGTTCGAGTTTTAACTATGGTCGAATAACGCATATGGCTGCACACGATTTTCTTCATTTGTTTTATTCGATTCATTCATTTGAAATACACTTATTTCAGTTAATATTATTTTAAACACATTTGCCATTTAGTTTATTCTTTAATTTGCTTCACAATTTTTTTTTACTTTTTGTTGTTTTTTTTTTATGTACTCGTATGTACTACCAATTCGTCTTGTTTTTTGTTTTTTTTTTACTTTTTATATATTTATTTATATATATTTAGTTAATTAATTTTTTTTTTTGTTCGGGGACTGTCAGTTGAGAACTGCTGCGAGTTAAAAGACTGAAAAACTGTTGCAACCCGAACGTATTTTAAATTCTAAATGCCTGACGCATCTTTTCTTTATCCTGTTTTTCTTTTAAATTTTAGTTACACTTGGTTTTTGGGTTCCATGTACAAATATTGGTATGTATTGTATAAGTTAAATATATATATATACGTTGGGGGGGGGTGAGGTTAGGGCAGAGAGTTGTGAGAGATGTTAGGCATCTACTATGTATTTGTGGTTTTAGGTTTTAGGTTTTATCCTTGATTCTTTCTATTTTCTCTGCTCTTTTTATGCATTGTTATCGTAATCGTTTAGTTGGTAATTGTAATTGTAATTGTAATTATGATAATAGTAGTAGCATTTAATAGTAAATAGTAGAGTACATATTAGAAGTATACATTCATATAAATTTAGAGTTTGTTTCAACGTCATTACACACACACACACACGCACACCCATTCACACACATATAAACATCAACATTCACTCAAACTTGGGTATATTATTTAAATTATTACATTGGTTTATATTCCTTTAGGGTTTTAACTGTTTTTAGCAATTAACTTAGTTTTTAGTTAGTTGTATGATCATATTTTTGTTTCTCTCTCTCTCTCTCTCTCTCTCTCTCTCTCTCTCTCTCTCTCTCTCTCAACCAACAAATGCACACCAGACGGATATATAGAACTTATGTTTATAACAAAACTAAATCGAAAACAGAAAGAGAATTAAATTCACATCGAATAAATGTATGACTTTGGTCTGTTAGCGAACAGCTGCCAAACTCCAAGCTCGAGCCACATAGAAATTAATTGAATAATCATGAACTATTTGGTAATAACAGGGAATACAGCCCTGTATATGGAGTGACACAGCGCTTAGCTTTTGTGCGTGCTGCTGCGCACAATTTTTTTCGAACGGGATATCGCAACAAGGTTACACGCACACGCACACACACACATGCACTCTCTCACACACATGCACAGTCAGACTATAGTAATTTGCTTAGATTTGTGTTATATATTGTAGGACTATACTTTACACATACGCACAAAACTACCACATCTAGATTAGTTAATATAAGTATATTTTTGTATATATATTATATATATATATTACATAAATACACGCACATAAGAAACATTTAATTTATATAGTTTAGCACATAGCTACATTATGTTAGTTTTTTTTAAATATTTTTTTTTTTTTCAACTGCTTTTTGTCTTTCTTTCGGTTACTTGACGCTTATTTTGAGGTTAGCTGCGAGCTGCTGGCATTCAAATGAAAGAAACAGCGCTATGTGCCTTTGCAGTTGTTTTTGTTTTTTATTTTTTGAGGTTATGTTTCCTCTTTTTGAGGTTATGTTTTTTTTTTAATTTTTCTGTTTTTGCTTTGCATTTTACTAGGCTCGTCCAATTAAATAGCACGCCATCGAATACAAAAGTAATGAGGTTTTGTTTTTATGTTTGTTTTTCTTTGAGTTTGATGAACTTTCGTACATGCTAATCGAAAAATTGAAACATTATTTATGCGCATTTAAGTTTTGATGTGTTTTTTTTTTCATTTATTTAATTTTATGTAATTTGTTTGAAATGTGTTGTCTTAATTATTTATTTGAAATGTGCTTTGTTTATTTATTAAGTGTTTGTTTTAAATAATTTTATAAATGTAAGTTTCCAATTTCTCATTTAGTTTTTCTTACATTTTACATGATTTTAAAACGATTCACGTTTCTTTTTTTTTTTTTTTAATTTTTTATATTTATGTATGTATGCGTATATAGGTATATATATATATATAAATATATATATTTTTATAAAAAAAAAAGTATTTTAATAATATAGTTGCTTCTTAAACTGCCTATGCTTTGATTTATGTTTTTTTGTTTTGTTTTGTTTTTGTTTTTGTTTTGTTTTGCTTCGACCTGTAAACTATATTTAAAATGTAATTTTCTTTACTGATTTTTATCCCATTTCTGGGCTAAGGGTTCGGGTAGTTGGCTTTACTTCGTTCAAGTACGGGTTCAAGCATAGTACACGCGTCTCCTCTTTAGGCTTATGGCTGCCTGCTTACATAGCTACATACATATGTAAACATATTTATATATATATATATGTTATATATATAAATTCATATTTATATATTTCTTTAATACATATATCAAATTCTTTAAATACATATAAACGCAAATTTCTTTTCGTATTTACATACATTCATAGTTTTCTGAGTGCTTCTTCTTGAATATTTCTTATTTTTTTTTCGACTTTTGTCTTTAGCCTGAAGAAACTAGATTTTCCTGGCATACAAATAGTTTATTTTTTTTTCTTAAGCTACCGACGCGCAGCTCTAACAAATTTTAATATTTATGCATATTTTGACAATAATTAAAACAAAAACAAAAAAAAAAACAAAATCCTAGAGCTTCTAAATAAAAAATAATTTGTTTTCAAAATGCGCTTGAAAATGTTCAATTTCTATTTTTTCTTTTTTCTTTCTTTTCTTTTTTCTTCTATAGATATATATATATATATATATAGATATATATATATATATATAAACTAGTTCCTATATATCTAAATAAATAGTTTTATGCTTTCGGTTAAATCTAGAAAATATAACAAAATTAAATTTGTTATTGTTGTTGTCTTACAGTTAGATTTAGTTTTAAATAAGTTATATATATATTTATATATATAAAGGACATTTTATGCAATTAACGGTTTTTGTGCCAACTTGTTGGAACCTTAACTTTTGGCCTAAAAAAACACAAAAAACGAAAAAAAAAACTGAACCCTAAGCGCTTTCCTGACTTGAATTGGTGTCTCTGTTGTTTTTGTTGTTGTTGTTTTGTTGTTGTTGTTGTTATTGTTGTTATTTGTTAATAATTGTTGTTTCGTTTTTGTTTATTGATAATCTGTGAGGCTTCCAATGGTGATCAATATAGTTCAACAATAGTTGGTACAATTATACATTACATTAGCTTAAAAAGCGTATTGTTATAGCAAATATAAATATATATATAAATATATATATACAGGTATATATATAATTATATGTATATGTTTATATATGTGTGTAGGTGTAGCTGGTAGATGTGATTTGTGTGTGTGTGTGTGTGTGTGTGCAATTGTGTGTTAACAATGGACAGCACACCACATAAATATAGGTTCAACAATTAACCATGCAACATAATATAAAATTTTGTGTGTTTTTGCTTTTGCTTTTGTTTACAGTTTTCCGTTTCATTTCTTTAATTTTTTTCTCCTGTGTGTGTGTGTGTTTTTTTTTTTGTTTTCCTTTTTCCAATTTAAATTGCAGCAGGAGTGCAACGGCCGAGGGCGACGAGCGGCATCAGGAGTTCATTCGATTCCTTAAGTTTCCTGTTGCTGTTCCTCCTGATCATTGTAGAAGGTCACGTACTTGCTATTGACTATGGCATTCCAGGCTAAAAAGGTCGACGAAAGTGAAAGAGAAGGTAAGTAAAGTGCTTTCACTTGAGTGTATGAAACATACTTTGATCATAAAACAGCATAAACAAAGTTTATGAATTTGAATTGGGGATAAATGTTGAAATCTTCTGCTAAATAGATGTACTCCAACCCTTTGGATCTACGCTACGAGAAACGAATCCTTGTATTATTGAACTTTTCAAAAAATACTGAAGTTCTAATCCAATCGTTTTCAGAGATTGTATATGACATCCAAATGGTTCTAATACTAAAGCACAGGGCTCTAATTCCAAAAACTTGTTCTGCACGTCTTGCACAATTGTTTCTCAACAAAAATCGCATTTTTTTTTATTTTGGATATGTATACTAAACGAGAATCTTCATACCAAATTTGGTCTGCCTAGGTCCAATAATCTTCGAGCTATGTCTGAAAAACCACGTAAAAACAGAATTTCGATATCGTCTTATATCGATTACATGAATAGTTATCGATAATTTGAAACAAACAAGCTCTGCTCGGGCAATGGAAGGGGAAGCTATATTTCCAGCTCTTAAAAACTCCGAGTACAAGCTACTTTTCAAAATCCTTACGCCGTGTGTTTTCTAAATGTATCGATACAAGTATATTCCTCTAGAATCTAAAGATCTGTAGGTCCGCCCGCTACATGGTTTCCAACGTACACATGGTTTACTTGTTAGTTTCGATAAAAACTTCTTTGCGTTACAAATGTAGTCACAAAATTAAAATGCTCTACACTATTGAAGGAACTAATGTTTAGATATCGATAAATAGCGATAGATATCGTTATAGCCAAAGGAGCCTAACACAAGTAACATATATAAATATATACACTTCTCGCTTCTGTTTCTTCTTGTCGACTTACAGCTGCTGATGTAGTCCACAATGAGCTCCGTGTTGGACATGAGAGATTGGCGCGTCGGTGGTGTGGGCAACAGTTGCGGCGGCGCGGTTGCCACAAAGTCCGTTTTGAGATCGGACATAAAGCTGAGCTCGTGCAGCTGCTCCTCATCATCATCGTCATCATTATCATTATCATTATCATCGTCATCATCATCATCGTGGGCAGCTGGATTGTCGGCATTGCTGTAGGTCGTGTAGAGAGCTGGTCGGGATTTGGTTTTGGCAGCGCCTGTTTTTGTGGCAGGCGGCTGCTCCAGCGAATTGCTGCGACTGCAGCTGGCACTGCGCGAGGAGGCGGCAGCAGCAGCAGCAGCACGTGCGGCCGCTATAATTGCCGTCTCGATATCGTTGCACGTCTCCAGCTGCTGCATGGGCAGCGGCTCATCGTGGCAGCTGCTGCAACTGCTGCTGTTACTATGACTATGGCTGTGGCTGTGGCTGTGGCTGTGGCTGTGGCTGGCACTGGCACTGGCGCTGGCCTTGCTGAGAAAATGATTGACCTGATCCTTGATGGCAGCGGCGGCGGCAATGGTATTGGATATGTTAGCAGCGCCATAGATGCCGCTATCATTGGACTGATTGGCGGCACCGCCGCCATTGCCATTATTGCCATTGCCATTGCTGCTGCTCAGCGTCGATGAGGAGGCCGAGGTTGAGCACGAGGCGGATGAAGATGGTGTCGAGGATGTTGATAAATTGTTGTTGTTGCTGTTGTTGCTATTGTTGTTGCTGCTGCTGCTGCTGCTTGTGTTGCTGGTGTTGCTGGTGTTGCTGTTGTTAGCGGCTGCATTGGGCGACGACTGTGCCGCCTGCCCTGAGATAAGCAGCAGATCCATGCAGGCCGAGCTGTTGACCACATCGGAGGCAGTGCCCGAATCATTGAGTAGCAATTGCAGTTGCTGTTGCTCACAACTGGGATCGGTAGCGGTTGCTGTTGATGCCGTTGTTGGCATCGTCTGTTGCTCCTTGTCCAGCTGCAACAGCTGCTGTTCCGTTGTCTGTTGCTTATCGTTGGACTCCTTGTCGCTGGCATCGTCAAATAGCTTCAGTTCGTCCTCATTGAAATCGCCAAAGATGAACTCGTTGTTGAGCCTGCCCAGCTTCGAGTCGCGATCATCGTTGAGTATAATCACAGCCGGTCTGTTGCCCACCGGCGGCAATGTGGTCTGCACAGCCGCTGCTGCAGTGCCGCCGCTATGCTTCTTGGCGCCCTCCGTCTGCGTGGCCGCTGTGGCCTTGTAGGTAATGGTGCCGCCACTGTGGCCACTGGCCAAATTGAAGCTAACGGGCGGCGCCGGCGGCGGCGGCGATATCTCATCTTGACTAGGCTTCTGGCTAAGGAGTTTCTCCTTGTTCTTGTTGCTGCTGGGCGAGAGCTCCTTTGGCTTGCACTTGGCCTTGCCTGAGGTAGTTGCTGCAGCTGCTACGCCTGCTGCACTCTGTGCCACTTCCATGCTGGACTTTTCCGGCTGCTGCTTGGCAGCTGCTGCAAAGTTGTAGCCAGTGGCCACATTCGCCGGCAGCGGGACATGATTGAGGCTGTGCCGCTTGACGGTCTTCTCCAGCGCTGGATACTGCAGATCCAGATTGCTGCTGTTGAAGCTATAGCTGCTGCTGCTGGCATCGTGCTCCACGCTCTTGGACTTTTGCAGTGCTGGTGCCGCTGTGGCGCCAGCGCCTGCTGTTGTCAGATTCGAGGTGCTGCCGGCAGTTGTGCCTGCCGCAGCTGCTGTTGTGGTTGTTGTTGCAGTTGTTGCTGCTGTCGCTGCGGGCGTGCCAGTGGCAACAGCTGTTGCCTGCTGCTGTTCCTGACTGTTGGCCTCCGTGTCACTGGGGGCAGCTGTTTTGTTGAGGCTCTGCGAATAGCTAATGAGCGCTGCGGCTGCAGCAGCGCCAGCTGCAGCAGCGCCAGCTGCTATGGCTGCGGCCGTTGCTGTTGTTGCAGCCATGGCGCCCGGCAGCTCTGGAAAATCGGGACGCTGCTTGGACCTGGCCTTAAGCTTGTTTTCCAGCAGCAGCAGCGTTTGCGGCGACACCAGACCTGGTGCATCGCCAGCATCGCTGTCCTCGCCGTGACCATGGGCCAGCTGTTCGCGTTTGTTGCGTGCAATGTCCGCATATGAAATGGGCGCCGATGAATTGTTGCTGCTGTTGTTGTTTTTGTTGCTATTGTTGTTGTTGTTGTTGTGCTTGGCCTGAACGGCGACGCGCTTGTTGTTGCTCTTCTTCTTAACGGTTTGTATGGGCAACGAGTGCACCGAGTCGAGATCACTTGAATCGGATTTCTCCGAGGGCGGCATAGACGATGTGGACTTGCGACGCGAATTATCCTGCGTGCCGCTGCCGCCAGCAACAACAGCTGCAGCAGCAGCAGCTGCAGCATTTGCAGCGGCTGTGGCTGATGATGTGGCAGCGTGTTGTTGTTGTTGCTGTGACTGCTGTGCTTGTTGTTGTTGCTGTTGCTTGTTGCTGCTGCTGCTGCTGTTGTTGTTATAGCTGGCATGTGCTGCATAGTAGTAGTTGTTGCTGCTGCTGCTGCTGCTGCTATTGTTGTAGTAGTCTATGTTGGTGCGCAAACGCTGTGACATCATGTTGGACGATGCCGATTTGGTTATCTGTTGCATGCGCTGCAAATTGCCGCCAGTTGTTGCCGCTGCCGCAACGGCCGCATCGTCCATGGTGACGGCGCGCTGTTTCTTTGGTTTCTTCTTTTTGGTGACCACATGAAACTCAGCCGTTTCGCTGAGCACCGTATTCAGCGCTTCCATTTCGGACATGCGCGCCAGCGTTGGCAATTCCAGCGCCTGCAAAGCGCCCGCTGCGGCTGCTGCTCCAGCTGCTCCGGCTGCACCCAGCTGTGAGGAGGAGGAGGGCGTGTCGGGGCAGTTGTTGCTGGAGCTGCTGTTGCCGCTGTCATTCAACTTGGCATCACTCAATGCGGGCGGCGTCTCGCCCAAATACTGCAGCTCCTCGGTGCCCCAGGAGCGACGCTCGCTCTTGCGCGGCGCTGCTGTCTGTTGCGATTGTTGTGCTGTTGGTTGTTGCTGTTGCTGTTGTTGCTGCTGCTGCTGCTCCTTGTTGCAATTCTTGTTGATGTCTGCCACTGAGGCGGAATTGTGCTTTCCGCCCTTTTTGTTGCGCATCATTTCGGTGGTGGCCGACTGACGCTTCAGTTCATCGACTTCCATTTTGGCGCAACTGCGCAGCTCCTCCAGCGAGTTGCATTTCTTAAGCTTATTCTGCTTCTTGCGCTCCTTTTTCTTTTGCTGCTGCTGCTGTTGCTGTTGCGCGCACGCAGAGCCGTCGTTCTCAATGTACTTGACCAGCTGCTCAACGGGATCCTTGCCACGGTAACCGGCCACCGATTCCACATCAACTGTGGTCGTGTTGCGCTCCTGCTGTGACTTCTTCTTCGACTTGAGCTTCGTCGGCGGCTGCGACGGCGCAACAGCAGCAGAGCCTGGCGTCTGCTGCAATTGGCTGTTAAAGGATGCGGCTACTGCGGCGGCAGCCATGGCTGTTGTTGTTGTATTGCCTCCAGTTGTGAGCAATGTGGAGACGCTATTCGAGCGCTGTTGCTGATGATGATGTTGTTGATGTTGTTGATGATGTTGCTGCTGAAGCGGGGCTGTCAATGCGCTGCCACCGCCGCCGCTGCCCAAGGTGGTTGTGATAAGCGTTGTGAAGGAGGAGCTGCCACTGGCGTTGTTGTTGTTGTTGCCACTGCTGCCATTGTTGTTGTTGTTGCTGCTGCTACTGTTATTGTTGTTGTTGTTGCTGCTGCTGCTGCCAGTTCCATTGCCAGCGGCATAGCCATCGCCCAACGCGTTGCCGTTCTCATCAAACTGGCGCTAGAATAAAAACAAAAGCCAAAAACATAATTTACTTTATGCCACAAGTTGCACAGAGTTCGCCCGCCCAATACAATTGCTGCAACAACGTGCACTAACCATCAGCTTAAACATGGAGATCGGTGCGTTATTACATCGCTTCAAACGTTTCACTTTCATTTGTGTTCAAAATTCCTAGTTTTTCATTATTGTACAAATCTAATAGGTATTATATGCCTTATGTCTTTGACAATTGTCCGGACTTATTGTGTGTTGTTCACTCTCCGTTTGTGGCTTTCAAATGAATTTGCCATTCGATGCTCGGATTTACTCGTTTGACAGTTTGCACGTCAAAATCAACCGTTTTTTATCGAATGCAACCCTGTTACTTCACTGTGTGCTGTCAAGCACATGCCTGCCCGGCAATACCCTACAATAAACGGTCTTAACTCAATGCAAAGGTTGTTTGTGCAAATATGAAAGGAAAATGTTGTTGCGCAGTGTGTAACAGGCAAATGGGAATTCATATAATCTTTATAATGTTCATATTTGATATTTTATGACATATAGATGAATATACTATATATATATTATATTGATTTTGTATTGTAGGGCAATGGCTTCAGCCGTCAGCCAAATGTTTAGTGCGTAATGTATATATAGATGAACACATAAATACATATACTTGATCCGTATCAACAGCCGAGTCTATATAGCCATCTATCTGCTAGGAGAACTAGTCTCTCGGGTCATAATCAACCGACTATATCATGTTACAGTTACATGCTAAACCTCCTGACGAAATTCTTCATTTACAGATTTAACTATGCTCTCTACCGACTATTATAACACTAGCTTTACGCTAGCTGTATATTATAAGTCGACTTATCTTTTGCATAAGAGAGTTTTACATTTTTTCAAGCTACCCCGGACCAGCCGATTCTCCCAACATATCTGTAAGTCCCACATCATATGGTTCTTTTGATATCGAATCCCGTCCAAGCCCTGTGTCCTCTCCACAAATAGTCGTTCGTTCGTGTACTTCTATAGCCTCGACATAAAGTTGGGACCAAATTTTTTTTTTTTTTATAATGATGGCCTTTTCTCATTTCCATCTCAGCTATACAATATTTCGTCTTATTGCCAGACAAACTCCCATTTTGTCAACATTATTTATTGCAATAGAACCCTATGCGATAAGAGCCTGATTGCGTCGAAAGCCGAGCACAACTGGGCGTAGGTATTGCTAAACAAATGTTGAAATAAGCGAGAATTATCAAGGTGTTTACATAAACAACATCTTGTTAAGTTCTGCCCAACGTAAAGATAGACTAATTACAAATAAATTGTAATTAATAAGCCCTAACTATTTATATTATAACAATTATATGGATCAATGTCTCAATGTTGTATCGCGCGCTTTTCGGCTTAGGAACTCATGTTTATACCGAATATCAACTGTCAGGTTAGTTTCTAGCAACTTTAAGCCCATTTCCAAATCGTTTCCGACTAGAATCCAATCGAAAAACATACAAACTGTGAATTTGGTAAGCCAGATATTTTCAAACCCAAATATGACTTATGAATACGCATTTTATGCTGCCCGTTGACCAATCTTTATTCTCGTGCTGCAGAAATTGAACCAAAAACCAAAAACCAATAAGATGTAAGACCAAAGATCAAGGAATCGAAATCGATTTGATGTCCGACCATCCCAGTCCTTGGCTCCGATTGTCTCTGAGGGAGGAAGAGATAGACAGAAAAACGAACGGACATGGATAGATCGACCCGGCTGTGCATGAATATAGAGAGACTCTGTAATAGGATCGTAAATGCTTCATTCTGTTTTGTTATATACAATTGCACACAAAACCATTCCTAGCCCAGTTTTTTGAATATAATATTTTTAATACACACAGAGGTTAATTAAAGTTACAATTCTTTACATTCCGAGTCGAGCGCCAACTTCTCACTTACCGTTGTGGTCTTGGCGCCGTGAGAGGCGACGACAGCTGCAGCGGCCGCTGCGGTCATCATGCGTCCAATCTTGGCCGGACGTAGATCTCCGCCCCCAAATAGCTCAGCGCTGTTGCCGCCGCCAGAGCCCTTGGACGAGCCACTGCCGCCCGAAGAAAAGCTGCCAGGCATGTTGGTCAATCCGAACACGGACGAGCAGGCCGTGTAGCTATCATTGAGAGAGACGTAGCCGGCGTCCACCTTGCGCTTCTGTTCACCCAACGGAAGCGTGAATTGTCCGCCAGCTACAGCATTGGCCAATGCTGGCGGGTACTGCGGTAGTGGTAGTTGTTGCTGCTGCAGCTGCAGTTTCTGATTCTTGGCCGACGTCTCCAGCATGGAGAAGTGAAGTGGATCATCAATTAGGAACTCTTTGACAGAGCCCAAATCCTTGGCATCGGGCTGCTGTTCTGGCTTGAGAATGTCCGGTGGATTCTCGCATTTAAAGGACATGGCTTGGTTAGCAGCCACATTTGGCATTGCCTTATCCTTACGGGCCTTTGTTGTTGTTGTTGCGTGTAATAAAGAGTTGTAATTAATTAAAAATGTAGTTTAAACATAAATAAGAAGAGTTCGCCCAGTTTTGAAATTCTACAGTTACAGCTACAAATATATACATATTTATGTCAATTACGTTATGATGCAGCGGAAATTGTTTTTTTTTTTTTTTTTTTTTTTTTTGCAAATCAAAATTTGGTATTTGCTTCAACTTGTTCCACACAAACCGAATTCCAAAACCGATTCTCCACACTGCTTTCATGATTGATGCGAGTAAATGATGTAAATGCAATGAGAAAAAAAAAAAAAAGTAACGAGTGATGGAAATAGCGAATATCGAGCGATGAGAGACGACAACAATAAACGGTAACAGCGATTAGAGGAGTACTTAAAATAGATAGAGACAGAGATAGCGGCGATTGACTACTGCGTTTTACAATGTTACAAATGCACAAATGTTAGCTGACTGAGAGCGAGAGTGGAGATGGGAATTGTGTGATTCTGATGTGACTGCAGATGGGATTTGAGTGTTAGATTCTTTGACATGACACATAGGCGACTAGAACATTTAAATTCAAAATCAATTTACAGCGGCTTATGAACTATCCTAGCATTTAAGGCAAATCTTTTTACAGTATCAACTAACCAAGTGGTTCAACAGTATTTTCTTATTTTCTTACTGAATATGCTGCTTTCTGTCTAATAATAACAGTCAATATTGCGAAGAATAGATCGTTTAGATAAGATATCAAAATATTTACATATATATAAGCAGCTGTAATAGGCGAAAACTAATGACTGCCGACTTTTAAGAGTCACATCTTACATCAAATGAAATACATGATTAACACATATATACAGGATATATACTACGAACACAAAACACATGATCTATTTATAATGACAACGGACAAACTAAACAAATGGTTTCCTAAGGATACGAGTTAAGCGCTTGATTAATGGGTTGCTGCATTGTTTAATTGTGTTTGTCGGGTGAATAGATACGCGTGAAAAGAGGCGCGTCTTACCGCCTGCAATTTTGATGTATCATTAAGCAGGTGTTCGTCTTCGGCATTTGAATAAGCTTGGGAATAATTGATCATATCCCAAAGTGTCTCATCGAAGTTGATGTCCCACATCTCTACAGTGCCATCCCTTACCTCCAAGGCTTGATCAAATAGTTGATTGGCGGCCAAATCGCCGCCGCCGCTGCCGCTGGCGCTGCCGCCGCCGGTAGCGCCGCCGGTAGCGCCGCCGGTAGCACCGCCGGTGGCACCGCCGGTGGCACCGCCGACATCAGCAGCATCCCCATCTACATCGAACTCAATGACAGTGTTCCCAGTTTCATTCAGTTGATTGGGCGAGCTGCTGCAGCTGCCGGTGTCGTTGCGATTGCCTTTGGTGTTAGTAGTATTGGCGGCATTCGGATTCGGATTGGGATTGAGATTGGGATTCGGATTGACATCGCTTGCCACGCCTTCATCACCAATGGCTAGCTTTTGCTTGGCATCCATGTTGGCCATCTCAAAGTTGACGGTGCTTGGCAAGCTGCTGCCTTCGCGTTGTCGCGCTGACACGGATGAGTTGTTGCTGTTGTTGTTGTTCTTCAACTTCTTGCCAGCTAAGGCGGAGTTTTGGTTGTTGCTGCTGCTGCTGCTGTTGTTGTTGTGCTGCTGGCGTCGATTGGCGCGGGCGTTGCTGTTGCCACCACTGCTGCTACTGGCGCCAATAAGCTGATAATCACAGTTGAAACGTTGGGTTGCTGCTACTGCCGCCGCTGATGACGTTGTTGCCAGCTCGCTGCGATGCGTCGCCTCGACCAAGTCCTGCAGAGAGCCCCCCTGCTTATGACGCTGCGACGCTGTCCGATGGTTTGTGTGATAGCTGCTGCTGCTGTTGTGCGCTCCGAAGTTGCTGCCGCTGCCGACGCTGCTGCTGTGGCCGTAATAGCCGCTGGACGTTGATGATGATGCGGACGTATTGCGTGTTAGACAGGTTTTGATGGCACGATAAGAATTCGCCTCGTCGTACTCAGCCTTTTTGAGCATTTGCTGTGAAACATTAAAATACGCGATACAAAAATAACAATCTAATGCACAGATATTATCGGCATAGATTGCGGCCAAAGCAAAACTTACCAGAAAACGCTCGCTTTTGTTTTTTCTGTCGCCCGGATTGCGATACCAATAGGCCTCCTCGAGCAGTTTCTTTAATGATGCGTCGTCGAGATCATTTATTTCGCTATCCTCCCAAGCATCGTACTTTGTCTGTAAGTTTTTAAATTTTTATTTATTTATTTATTTTATTTAATTTTTTTTTTTATTCAATTCAAGACAATTGGTAGTGTTCGCTTCGAGAGCACAAAAGATATGTTTGCCGAGTCAAGGAGCTGACTTTGTGCGTCTTTAACCTCAAAAACGCAACTGCGCCTAACATTTTGATTTTCATCGCACGAAAGCTTTAGCTCACGGCATTTGCGTAAAGTGTGGGTGGGATAGTGATGGGGTTGGGATGGGGTTGGGATGGGGTTGGGATGGGGTTGTGAGGTCTGTTGCGAGTTCGAATTACGTAGAAATGTTCGCATGCATCTGGGCTTACATCAGCTTCAGCTCGACTTGCCACGGTGCTTTGGTCAATAATTCTGACACATGCAACGCACTTGGCTTCAGTTTTTAGAGAGATGCGTGTTTATGTACATACACACAGACACACATACACATGCATGTATTTTATTTTTAGATATGTCAGGCTCAAGTCACAGGCACTCAAGTGCAATAGATAAAAAAAAAAATTAGATAAAACAATTTAATGCGTGTGGTTAAGTTTTTGTGGCGACGATGACGGCGCCACACAACAAAACGTTTTTCGATAATTTAATAGAATTGTGGTTTTCCTAACGACATAAACGAAATCAAGAACACATTCAAATTGTATATAAAATTAATTAAATAAAACAAAAAAATGTATTTAGGATTATCTATTAAAATAAACCAAATTTAAGTGCGACTTAAAGAGACACGTTCGGCCCGCCGATCTGCAATTTTGCTTAAACACTGCACATCCACACGCACACACATACACATGTCTATATATGCATGTAAGACGTAATCTACACGTGTGCGTGTGTGTTGTGCAAGCCTATGATGGAAGGAGTTATGGCGTCTGCCAGATAACGGCATTTGTCCAGGCACATTTTGCTAAACGTGAGCGGGAGAGAAATGAAAACGCTCATACCAACGCGCTCCCTTCATCGTCCCCTGTGTTGTTGTTGTTTTTTATGTGTAGATGGAGACTGCCTGAGCTAAAGTAACGGTTTTCTTTTCGTAATTCGCAACACTTGCAGACGACATGCTGTTAAGCACTTTAAAGTGACGCTTTCAGCAGCAGCACAACATCGACATAAAATTGAATTGTGTGTGAATATTAATTCAATTAATAGTTAACCAATTTTTGTATGGGCAGAAATAAAAAAAAAAGTTTGCTACATCATTTTTAGGAATATTTTATATGTATATGTATATGTTCTATACATACATACATACGTAAGTATGACGCATATGCGTGTATGTATGTTTGAGTTCTGTTGATATTTATAGAATGTTTGTGCGATTTTTATTGGATATGTATGTAATTGGAAAATCATTCAAAAACACAGATATGAAGTGCGACCACATTGAGGGAATACACATGCGTGCGTGTATGTGTACGTCGCACATGTACCATACATGTGCGAAATAATTGTTATGATGTCTGCTAAAGACGGCCAAACCATAACGCACACACACATACAAAGCACATATGAATGATAAAAAATACTTGTGGAATCCAACAGTAAAAAAATGAATATAACAGAAATTAAGTTAGGTTCAGAAAACGAGGCAACAGCAATGGAAATTTAAAGCGTGAAGCAAGACAGGACAAAGCAAGAAAATACATACATATATTCATAGAAATTATGTTATTACCAATAAATGATATATTGCAAATTAACACAGTTGCTCAACACAGGAAAGGTGAATTATAGACAACTCACCTTTTTATTCTTCTGACGCTTGCCCACATTTTGGTCATCTTGGGTCTTGCCTTTGGTGGTCGCCCCGCGTCGCTGATGCAGCGCAGTTGCGGCGGCAATCACCTCGGGCGCTGGTTGGCCAGATTTGCTCAGTAGCGGAGTTAAATTCAAATTGTGATGCGCGGCGTTCGCAATGGTGGTGGTGCTGCTGCTGCTGCCACCGCCGGCAGCGCTGTTGCTGTTACTGCTATTGTTTTTCTTATCAGCGGGCGCCACATGATTTTGGCTAGGCGCAGAGGCAGCTGCTGATTGACTATTGTTATTGTTGCTGCAGCTGTTGCTGGTGCTGCTGTCGTTGGCCGGACGCTGCTCCAGCTTTACATTGTGCGACATTAAGGTGGTTAGCTGCTCCTGGAAATAGGGCGTCGGTGTCGTCTTAGTCGATGTGGTTGTTGAGGTGCTCTCACTCAACGTGCCGGCGGCAATCGAAACGATGGGCGTATCGGGTATAATCGCTTGGATTTTTGTTACCAATGTGGCAATATTTGTGTCTTTGTCTTTGGCGTTGCCGGTACCGGTGGCGGTTGCGGCGCCTGTTGATATGGCCTTGATGAGTTGCGCAGCAGCTGGGCTGCTACTGCCAGCTGCAGATGTGGATGTTGCGGATGATGATAAGGTTGTTGATGATATTGATGAAACACCAATTTGTTCATTGTTCATCTTTTGTGGCATATAACAAACAACGAAATGCCATTAAAATTACAAATACGCACAATTGGCAGTTTGGCAGCTTCCAAAACAGAACCTGGCAAAAATATACACATATTTATATAGGTATATATATATATATATATATAAATATGTACAGACGTATATATATATATAATATATATATATTAAGAGAAAGAGAGCGTAACTGCGTCATAAGCTTACTCTCTCTCCCACACATCACGCACACACGCACACATATATACACACATAGTTAACAGTTACTTACCAACAAGGTTCCCGAAAATGGATGTGAGATATGCGCTGCTGATCCCGTTGTCCTAGAAAAACAGCTGTCAAGGCCGCCGCGCGTGTTAACGCCGCAGCCGCTGACACCCAAAAGGGCACCGTTAATACTGTTAAGCTTGCTCCTCTGCTCACTCTACTTGTTGTCCTTAAGCTTTGCCCGATTGCAGTATTCACGTTGTTTTGTGTCTGGCGTAATTTTTTTCGCTCACAATCGCTCGCTATTGTTTATTTGCGAACGCAAATGAACTGTAGAATTGTTGTTGTTTGTTGTTCTAACAAAACTTAATGCTGTGCAAATACCGCTGCCTACGCACTGTGTGGCTGTTGTGTTTTTGCTGATTTTTCGCCTTTTTTCTCATATATTTTTTGTTGAATTGTTGATTTTTCGCCTTAATGCAGTTCTCAATCCGTCAATCGAATGCAACCAGTTAAATTGCTTTATAGCGGAGCAACCTTGTCACTACCATTTGATTGAACACTCTCACATTGCCGAAACCGAGTCTACAGTTTACACTTGAAAAACATTGATGCAAGAAAAATTAAATAAAAGAAATGCGACTTGTCAAAAAAAATCATTTGCTTTGCCAAGCCGCGCAGTGCTGCCAAATAGAGATGTGCGATATTCACATGCGCTCATCTCTAGTTGCAAACCGAAATTTACATACGCTCATATCTAGTTGGCAATGTTATTTTTGGCACACGCACACACCGAACGCACCGTTGTGGATGATTTAATTATCGAAAATGCGTTTTACTTTTTGATATGCTATTATTTTACTATCACAACTAAATATGCTGACAGGAGAAAATAGCCAATAGCCGCTTGGAAGTTGGAAGTCGGTTGTGAACACGCGTTGGCAGCCCTGGCATTCTGTTGTCAGTGGCAACACTAGCGCAAACACGTCATTTTGCCACACAGTTTTTGTTGTAGCAATTTACAAATACGTTCTATTAGCATGAACAGCTACAATGCGCTCTCGCACACGCATGCATATATATTTTTATATATATGTATAGACACACACATATTCATATACACATACACATATGAGCTCATATATATACTAACAGTGCTTACTTTGCACTTTTAATTTGTTGTTAATCGCTTGGCGATTTGTTTTTTTTTTATACATACGCAATGCACACACACATACACGCACACGCACTTGCTTATGCACCTTCCACTACACATATGTATGTACATTTTTCTGACCTTCTCTTACACATAGCGAAAAAAAGACATGTTGGTTTGGAAGGGCTGGTGTAAGCTTACACAAGAACTATTAACGTTAACAATGCATTATATATCATTATTATAAATGCACAAGTTAAATATTTGTGTTTAATTACACATAAACGTAAAAATTCTGAAAAGAACGAACACTTTAGAGCGCAGTTGTTTTGCTTTACAACACTTTCGCATGTCTTTCGCAGCACTATTGGCAACTATGAGGTAATCGAATACTCGTACGATTGCATAGTGAAATACAACACTGGGCTTTTATGCGTTTACATTCGCTCGACTCACTTTTGCGCTAATTTGATAATTTAACAGTGTGAAATGCCTGTAATGATTTAAGTGAAACTGATTTTACTACCCGAATTCCATTGAATTTTATGATTGTTTTAGTAGTATCGATGTGGAATCTATAAGGACAATAACACATATCTTTGAGGAATACATTGGTCGAATAGCTGGCACTGGCAGACATTTTTTTAACCTAACCGAGACCAATCGAAGTATCGATAACATGCGATATTTTGATACTTCTCAATTTGCGACAAACCTTAAACAGACGTGCTACGGATAAATGAAATTAAAGCGGCAATAAATTAACATAAATACAACGACAAAATGAAGAACAAATATGAATTCGACGATGATGTTGCATCAATCTGTGAATCGACGGTAAATATATAATATTGATAAACTGCCATCAAAATGAAAACCAAATAGAAAAGCCAAGAAAGTGTAGCCATCTCTTTCTAAACTTTATTTTGATTTTTTCCTATGCTGCTAATTATTGAATACTTTACGCCAGGCTGCACTAACCGAGGGCTGTCGCCTGTCCGTGCGCATGCACAAGACCGACGACTGGCCGCTGGCCGAGATTGTCAGCATCAAGGAGCAGGACGGCAAGCGCCAGTTCTATGTGCACTACGTGGATTGTGAGTAAACAGAGCAATGAAAGAACGACAATAATTGGTCATTAACTGTATTTTGTATTTAGTCAATAAGCGCCTGGACGAGTGGGTCAACGAGGATGATCTGGACACGCGCAAGGTGCAGTTTCCGCGCCGCGACGGCCCGCAGACTGGCACCAGCACGGGCGTCACAACGCCCAAGCGTCATCATTCACTTGCAGGCAGTGTCTCGCGCCCGACATCGCCGCAGCCGCAACACGCTGCTGTCGGCGGCGGAGGCGGCGTTGTTGCTGGCATTGGCACTGGCATCCCAGTTACTGGTTCTGGCGGCCCAATGGGGGTTGGTGGCAGCGGCGGCGGCGGCGAGCTCGTCAATGGCAACAATGTGCTGGCGGCGGCTTTACAGAAGCGCATCAATCGCCGGCGCAAAGTGCACGGTAACTCCGGCCACAGCCACAGCACACATCATCTGCAGACGCTGCAGCAGCAGCATCAACAGCATCAACAGCATCAACAGCATCAACAGCATCAACAACATCAACAACATCAACAACAACAGCAGCAGCAGCAGCAACAACAACAGCCGCAGCAGCTGCAACAGCCATTGCAGTCATCCCAGACGCCGTTGCATGTCACCGGCGATGGCGGCCTGTTGCCAACGACACCCGGCGGGGGAATAACTTCTGCCGGCAACGAGGATGGCTCGCAGGATGGCAAAATGGCAACACCCAGGCAATCGGGCAGCATGGTTACGCATCAGGACGATGTGGTGACGCGCATGAAGAATGTTGAAATGATCGAATTGGGTCGTCATCGGATCAAGCCCTGGTACTTCTCACCATATCCGCAGGAGCTGTGCCAGGAGAATTGCATCTACATATGCGAATTCTGTCTGAAGTATTGCAAGAGTCGCAAGTGCCTGGAGCGTCACCTGTCCAAATGCAATCTACGCCATCCGCCCGGCAATGAGATCTATCGCAAGAACACAATATCATTCTTTGAGATCGATGGACGCAAGAACAAGGTGTATGCACAGAATCTGTGCCTGCTGGCCAAACTCTTTTTGGACCACAAGACGCTCTACTATGACACCGATCCGTTTTTGTTCTACATCATGACCGAGTTTGATTCGCGCGGCTTTCACATTGTTGGCTACTTTTCCAAGGAGAAGGAGAGCACCGAGGATTATAATGTCGCTTGTATTTTGACTATGCCGCCATATCAGCGCAAGGGCTATGGCAAGCTGTTAATTGAGTTTAGCTACGAGCTGTCCAAGTTTGAGGGTAAAACTGGTTCGCCAGAGAAGCCGCTCTCGGATTTGGGTTTGCTCTCCTATCGCTCCTACTGGGCACAGACCATACTCGAGATTTTGATTAGCCAAAACACCAGCACGGACGGCGAGAAGCCCACCATAACCATCAAGTATTTAATATTTCAATATAAACAGCTCCATTTGTGTACCCTATAATGTATGACTCTAATTGTTTACAGCGACATCTGCGAGTGCACTTCCATTAAGAAAGAGGATGTAATCTCCACATTGCAGAATCTTAATCTGATCAATTACTACAAGGGTCAGTACATTGTCTGCATCGGACGGGAGACCATTGAGCAGCATCAGCGCGCCATGATGAAGCGCAAGATACGTATCGATTCCAAGTGCCTGCACTGGACACCCAAGGACTGGTCGAAGCGCTCCAAGTGGTAACTACATTGCTATCATTGCCGTGTGCCACACGTCAAGTTGCCACAGAAAAATCTAATCTTTGTCATTTTCTCTTTCCTAGAATGCGCTCAGCTGCTGCTAAATTAATAAATTAACAAACCACTTAACCCCGCCGAAAGTACAATAAATGTTTGTCGCTGCTTGAAACGCTTGCATCGTCAACATCCTTACTTATTTATTCATATTTATCTCATTATTATTGTTAAGACCAGACTGGATTAGCACTAGAAGCTAACGACGTTCGTTGTGTTTTTGTTCCTTATAGTTTTTAATTATACCCAATAAAGAATTAAAAGGTTCTTGTTACAATGTTCTCAAAGACTTCGGGTGCGTTGGCTCAAAAACAAATATAAATTACAATAATCAAATTTTTTCAAATCCAACTTGAATCGAGCACGAGCCGCTTATCGATGGCTGGGCTATCGATGTACACGTCAAAACAGTGTTCAACAGTGCTGTTCAAACGTTAAACAGCTTAAGAGCATTACGTTACGCGCAGTTTTCGTTGCGTCAATGCTTGAATTTGGTACAATTTTATTTTATTTTTAATTTTTTAATGGTTAAATTTATGTGTGCATAGCTAAATTTACAAACTGTTACATTTAATGCATATGGAAAAACAAATTAAAGCTTGGGTATTATTACCTCTTAATGTTTTTATATATTTTTTTTTTACCCTAATAAAGAATTTTATACAGTTGTGGCATTTTAAAAAGTTCTTAATATAATGTTATTAATTAGGTTGCGGTGGCTGCAGCTCAATGGTTAATTGATCCATTGTCGCGAGCGTGGACAGCTCAAAGCCGTTCTCCACATTGTCCAGCGTGGTACGCAGTGTTTTGAGCGCCTCTCGATTGCTGGCAAAATTGATCTGATGCTTGGTGAGCTTGATGCGCGGCCGATGTTTGCGCTCCAACTGCAGCTTGCACTCCTCCAGAATGCGCATGTCCATTTCGTTGGGACGTTTTTCGTTGGCCAGAGCGGCACTCATTTCGGACAGTTTGACGCTTGTGTTCGACACATGGGTGTCGAGAATACGTGAGCTATTCGCGTCTAGTGTCCCGCACAAGTTGATGTTTTTGCTCAGGCTGACGAGTCGCGCGAATTCACGTTGATATTCCCGCTTGGCTTCTAGGAAATTGCGCGCATGCTCCTCCACTTGGCGCTGCATGTTCTTGGCCTCTTCTGTGTACCGTTTGAGAGATTCCAGGTGCAGCAGATACTGTATGTCATCGAGGCCGCTGCTTGTCGTGTTTGTTGATTCCATTGTTTTCTACCTCTTAAAGACAAATGTAATTTTTATAATGAAATATTTGAGTTTGTATTTTGATTTGAATAAAGCACGAGTTGCTTATCGATGGCACATGCCAGGACTATCGATAGGCACGTAGGCATAGTGATCAACGGTGTTGCCGAATCGTGCTTAGACTTAGAGCACAATGTTACGTGCAGCTTCGTTGCGATAATACATTGAATTTTTTTAATTTCATTATTTTTTTTAATATTTGCTTCATGTTTACTGCCATGCAACTTATAAAAATACAAATTTCCATTTATAAAAATTTACAAATTCTAACAAACAAATTAGGCGTGGCTGGTTTTATTGTAGCACAATTATATTTATTTAAATCAAAGAAATAGAAAATATAATATAAGATGCGTGTGTACAATGTATATTTAAAATGTTTTCATTGTTATAACGAGAACACATTCTTATTTCTTTATAATTTCTTCGTGCCTTTTACAGTGCCAATCGTGATTTAATTTTTCGTGCCTTTAATAGTGCCAACCGTGAATTAAGCTACAACGATAGTTCTCCTATCGTTATCTATCGATAATGTGCAAGTGCTGCCAGATGGGAGCCAAACACGTGTTGCCGGCTCATTGAATAAACACAAAGCACGGCAATTTAGCATTTATTAAATTTGTTTTAATATTCGAAAAGAAACAGAGAATAGAATATTAAATAATTTGCATAATGGCGCGTGGCAAGAAACAAAATCCGTTTGCAGCTAGAAAACGGCAGAAGCGTGCAAATGTAGGGAATTAGTTCAAATATCAAAAGTGCAGATAAAACATATTTTTCTTTTCTGTTTTTTTTTGTATGTTTGTTGTTGCAGGGTGCTCCTGAGCGTCCCGATCGCCGTGCCGAGCCCTATAAGGAAATTGAGCGCGATAATGCATCGTTCATTAAGTACTACCACCTGCAGAATATCTGCGCCAACGAGGAGGAGTGGACACAGTTCTTGGCCAGCATACGCGACAATCTGCCCACCACATTCCGTGTGACGGGTTTCAAGGACGAGGCCAAGGCGCTGTTGAATATAATCAAGACACAGCTATTTACCGAATATGTGCGCGCCGTTGCTGAGCTGAACGAGCTGCCCGCGGAGCAGGTGGAGCGTCCACTCTGCCTGCCCTGGTATCCCAATGGCTTGGCCTATCAATTGCATTTGACGCGTAAGGATATCCGTCGCTCAGAGCCGCTCTTTCGGCTGCACAACTTTCTCATTGTTGAGACGAAGGCGGGCAGCATAAGTCGCCAGGAGGCGGTGTCCATGATACCGCCCCTAGTGCTGGATGTGCAGCCCACAGACAAGGTGCTGGACATGTGCGCGGCGCCCGGCTCAAAGACAGCGCAGCTCATTGAGGCGCTGCACGCGGCGCCCGAACAGCACAAGATACCGCCCGGCTTTGTGTTGGCCAACGACGTGGACAACAATCGCTGCTACATGCTGGTCCATCAGGCCAAGCGGCTCAACTCGCCCTGCCTGCTGGTGACCAATCACGACAGCAGCTTCTTTCCCAACCTGCTGCAGACCGATGCCGCCACCGGCAGCAAATCCATACTTAAGTTCGACAAGATACTGTGCGATGTGCCCTGCTCGGGCGATGGCACGCTGCGCAAGAATCCCGATATCTGGATGAAATGGAATCTGGCGCAGGCATACAATCTGCATGGTGTCCAGTATCGCATTGTCCGGCGCGGTGCCGAGATGCTAGCGGTGGGCGGGCGTCTGGTCTACTCCACGTGCTCCCTGAATCCCATTGAGAATGAGGCGGTGCTGCAGCGCATCATTAAGGATGCGGATGGCGCATTGGAGCTGGTCGATGCTGCGCATCTAGTGCCGGGCCTCAAACACAAACCGGGCATGACCAACTGGAAGCTGGCCACCAAAGAGGTGGATGCCGTCTATAGCAATTTTGATGAGGTGCCCGAGCAGCTGCACACGATTATACGCCCGGCAATGTTCCCGTTGCCCGCCGAAGAAATGGCCAAGATTGGCCTGGAAAAGTGCATGCGTGTGCTGCCGCATTTGCAGGACAGCGGTGGTTTCTTTGTGGCCGTCATTGAGAAGCGACGTCCATTGAATTTCGAGAAAAACGATTTGCAGGATTTGCTACAGCAGGCGGTTAAGGCGCCGCAGCCAGAACCACAGCTGGATGAGGCCGGCAAGCCTGTGGAGGAGAAATCAACGCCATGGGGTCCACAGCGCAAGCGCCGTCGCCTGCATGGCTACAAGGAGGATCCGTATGTGTTCTTTGGCGAGCAGGATGCCGACTACGATTCCATCCAGCAGTTCTATCAGCTGGACGAGTCGCTCAACAAACGCTGCCTTCTGACCCGTTGCCAGACGGAGCGCAAAAAGAACATTTACTACTGCTCGGAACCGATACGCGATCTGGTCGTAAACAATGAGAGGAACATCAAGATTATCAATACGGGCGTGAAGACGTTTGTGCGCTGCGAGAATCGCCACACGGCGCATCCGTATCGATTGGCCCAGGAAGGTCTGCAGACATCGAATGCGTTCATTGGCAATAGTCGACGCATTCAGGTGGAGCGCGATGATCTGGTGCTGCTGCTCAACTGCACGGATCCAACAAAGCCGCCGTCAACGCTTGAATTGAAGCCGGAGACACAGCAGCGCTGCAAGGAGCTGGGTAAGTGTCCGTTTGAATGGCCCATTTTAAATGCCCACAGCTAATCCATTTGCCACATCCTTGCAGGCATTGGCAGCTGCGTGCTCAAGTATGTGGACGAGGCGTTTACACTCTTCATTGTTGGCTGGCGCGGCACCTCCAGCCTGCGCGCCTACGTCGATCGCGACGAGACGGTGCACATTCTGCGCCTGCTTGGCGCCGATCTAAGCAAATTTGAGGTCAATAAATACGAGAAGGCCAAGGAGGCAGCTGCCGCAGCAGCTGCAGCTGCTGCTGCTGCAGTCGACGATGCAGAGCAAAAGGTAGAGCTGGAGCTGCATGAAAGCGTTGGCTCGGACAAGGACTAGCACGTACACATAAAACATAATTATAACCTAATTAAACTGACCACAATTTTTGTTTATCATATGTGAATATTCCAACTAAACTCTATGTTAATTATCTAGTCCCAAATGCTGCACTACAGCCTAAAGTGTGGCCTTACACATTCGCGTGTTTAAACATTTGAGATTTTTAGCTCTCATTTGCATGGTCACACTTGTAAAATGGCGCAAATAAGTATCAAAGAATCGACTAAAACAGGTGCATTTATAGTGTTCAGTGCATTTATAGGCACGTCTTGCTTGCAAATAAAAGTGTTTTTATATTGATTAAATGTATGCGCATTGAAAATGCGTTTAACAATTTGCATTTGCAAGCATTTAAAGCACAAATTAAATTACAATTACATCAAATTTATTTGCAAGCATGGCGAAAATTGCCACTCTTTTCGAACGGTTTTTGTGTCTATGACTATCTGGCAGCTCTATCGGCAAAAATTTGTTAGAACTTTTAAATATATAAGCCAAGCAATTATAATTAAGCTGAAGAACGTGTTTAACGGAATGCGACAAATCGGAGCAGCAGAAGTTAGAAAGTGATAAAAGATCGCCGCCCCATAATAAAAGCAAATATAATGGATATAATGGATGCTTGAGAGAAGAGTGCATCGAAGCAACGGTAAATTGGCTAAAAGTGGTGAGTTTAAATATTTACTTTTATACATATTTTTTACACATACATACATATCTTATACATATGCAAAGAGCACCAATGCAATTGAATCATTAGAATATCTTAAACCAAGAGCGCTTGTGCATACAAAAACGAACTCCGTTTTGTACGTTATACGACTGCGCCACCCGGTCGTTTGGCTGGCTGCAGAAATACATACAATACATTGCATCGGGATACGCGAAAAAAATAGAAAGAAAAAAATCCTGTGCCAAAAGTGATAATATTATAAAATAGTTGAGTTGGGGGCAAAAAATAGCAAAAGGAAAATTGTTTTTTTTTGTAAATGTTGCCATTCGCACCGCAGCAGCATATCTTATAACATAAGCGATTGCTATCGATAATATGAAACATATCGATGATATGAAAGTATCACTTCCAATCATCGATGAAAACATGCGCCAAAATATCGACGCGGGAAAAAAATAAAGCCAAATTTATGATTGCGGCAATAAACATAAGGTTTAAACATAAGGAAATCAAATTCAAAGAAGGCTAATTGCTTCTTCAAGCAGTCACTGCTTGTACTAATGTCATATCCCGATTTGACATTTTGAACTATATCTGTAGTGGATATTCCTATGCTTTCTGGTGAGCTACTCCCTACTTTGTTTACCATTGGTTGTTAGAACCTAACCGAAAGTAATTGGTTGAGACGTTTATATAAACTTTACTTTAATGAATAATCACTGTATGGTCAGTTAGTCGCATCGCAAATATTATATAAACTTGATTAAAATGGGATGCTTCCGCTTAATCAAACCAGTCCAAGGCGGGCATCGAATTCAGTCCATTTTTATTCCCTCCCACCGTTGGACCTTTTGGCAGCTGCTGGGACGCAACGGTCCTCCTTGTAGTTGGTATTTCAATAATCCCACTATTGCTTGGATCGGTTGACTGCTGCTTTCGAGGTGGTACAACCGGCCTCCTTGGATTAGTTGGTTTTGATATTATTCCCAATAAGCTGTCACCCATGGTTGACGTTTTTGGTAACTGCTTTAGGGGAGGCATAACGGGCCTCCTTGGGTTAGTTGGTTTTGATGTTATTCCCAATATGTTTTCATTGACGTTAAGAGTGTTTGGTATCGGCTTTTTGGGTGGCACAGCTGGCCTCCTTGGGTTAGTTGGTTTTGATGTTATTCCTAATATATTATCATTTACTTTTAGCGTGTTTGGTATCGGCTTTTTGGGTGGCACAACTGGCCTCCTTGGGTTAGTTGGCTTTGATGTGATTCCTAATAAATTTTCATTCCCGTTTAGAGTGTTTGGTATCGGCTTTTTGGGTGGCACAGCTGGCCTCCTTGGGTTAGTTGGCTTCGGAGTTATTCCCAATAAGTTATCGCCCATGTTAGCCGTTGTTGAGGGCTCCATCTGCAGTGGCACAAGTGGCCTCCTTGGCTTTACTGCTACACCGCATGAGCTGCCTCCTATGGTTGGAGTTTTTGGAAGCATCGACTGCTGTGGAATAGAATGCTGACCAGGAATAGTTGGCAATGAATTAAGTCCAAATGATTTCCCTCCCATTGAGGGAGTTGTTGGTAGTGACGACCGCCCCGGAATAGTTGACATTGATTTCTCTCCCATGACTAAAATTGTTTGTAGCTGCTTTTGCGGTGTCACCACAGGCCTTGTTGGATCAGTTCGCTTAGATGTTAGTTCACACAAACTTCCATCTGAAGGCGTTGTCAGTTGTGGCTTCTGTTGTGGGACGAATAATTTCCCAGGAGCAGTTGCCATCGAAATCAGTCCGCACGAGCTCCCTCTCAAGGTCGTTTGCTGCATCTGTTGTGGGACATATTGTTGCCCAGGAATTGGCTTCGAATTGAGCCCGCTTGAGCTCCCTCCCATGGCTGAAATAGCTTGATATTGTTTCTGCGGTGGCACCACTTGCCTTGTTGGGTTAGTTCGCTTGGATGTTATTCCACATGAGCTTCCGTCTATTGGCGTCTCTGGTTGCTTCTTCTTTTGTGGAACAAATGGTTTCGCAGGAAGAGTTGGCTTCGAATTAAGTCCACTTGCACTCCCTCCCAAGGCTGGGGTAACTTGCGTTTGGTTCTGCGGTGGCACCAGCGGCCTGGTTGGGTTAGTTCGCTTGGATGTTATTCCACATAAACTTCCATCTGTTGGCGGAGCTGGTTGCTGCTTCTGTAGTGGAACAAATGGTTTCCCTGTGGTAGTTGGCATCGAATTGAGTCCACTTAAGTTCCCTCCTATGGTTGAAGTAGCTTGTGTCTGTTTCTGCGGTGGCACCACCGGCCTGGTTGGGTTAGTTCGCTTGGATGTTATTCCACATAAACTTCCATCTGTTGGCGGAGCTGGTTGCTGCTTCTGTAGTGAAACAAATGGTTTCCCTGTGGTAGTTGGCATCGAATTGAGTCCACTTGAGCTCCCTCCAATGGCAGAAGTTGATTGTGGAATCTTCTGCGGTGGCACCACCGGCCTCGTTGGGTTGGTTCGCTTGGATGTTATTCCACATAAGCTTCCATCGGTTGGCGTTGCTGGTTGCTGCTTCTGTTGTGGGACAAATTGTTGCCCAGGAAAAGTTGGCATGGGATTGGGACCACACGAGCTCCTTCCCATGGTCGGAGTTGTTTGTTGCTGCGTCTGTTGTGGGATAAATTGTGGCCCAGGAAAAGTTGGCATCGAATTAAAGCCACATGCGATCCCTTCCATGGTTGGAGTTGCTTGTAGCGGCTTCTGCGGATGCATTACTGGCCTTGTTGGGTTAGTTCGCTTGGATGTTATTCCACATAAACTTCCATCTGTTGGCGCTGCTTGTTGCTGCTTCTGCTGTGGGATACATGGCTGGGCGAGAGTAGTTGGCATCGCATTGGGCCCACAAGAGTTCCTTCTCATGGTCGGAAATGTTGGCTGATGCATCTGTTGTGAAATAAATTGTTTCCCAGGAGTAGTTGGCATAGAATTTGCTCTACACGTACTCCTTCCCGTGATCGGAGTTGTTGGCTGTTGCACCTGTTGTGGCATTAATTGCTTGCCAGGAGTAGTTGGCATCGGATTCGATCCATAAGAGCTCCTTTCTATGGTAGGAGTTACTGGCTGCTGCATCTGTTGCGGAACAAATTGTTGCCCAGGAGTAGTTGGCATCGTATTTCTTCCCGTAGTCAGCGTCGTTGGTTGCTGCATCTGTTGTGGGATAAACTGTTTCCCAGGAGTAATTGGCGTCGAGCTCGGTCCACTCATGTTCGAAGTATTCGGCAGCTGGTTTGATTTCCCGCCAGCCGTTTTTCTTGGGGTATCAGGCAAAGATGAGCCTGCGGCCAATGTTGCAGTTTTTTTCGTCTGCTTCTTCAGTGCAGATGCCTTCTTTGAAGCAGTCGGCCTCTTCGGCAAAGGTAGCTTCTTTGGGGCAGTTCGCTTCAATTTTACCCCACACAAGTTGTCATCCACAATTGGCTTCTTCTGCAGTGGCTTCTTTGGGGTTAGGGTAGCCTTCGGCTTGGCCATCTTTTGCTGCAGGGCCACTGATTTTTTCTGAATCTCAGCAGCCTTGGCTCGTATGTACTTGCGCTGGCTGGTGATGGCCTGCTGGCTCATATCTTTATCACTTTTAATGTTCCCTACAGGCGCTGCAATCTGCAGGTTGGCGTTCGTATAGCGGGTAGCTATCGTGTCAACGGGAGGAGTTGGCTGGGAAATTGGTTGCGGATCGCTAAAGGCAGGGGGCAGATTGTTAACGGAGCATACGATATGCTGGGGCTCCTTCTTGGGTCTCTTGGCCTTAGTTGGGCCACTGCCGCGCTTCTTCTTTCTGGCTGGATCGCCACCCTGGGTAATAGCTTGGCAGGGGCATTGAAGCGGCACCTTAAATTGATTATATTCCTCAAGCCTATCAAGCATGGTCCGTTTGCCCAACGTTCTGATCAGCTCTTCGCCCCTGGGAAACTTTTCCTTTAGGTTAAAGCAGGTTTGCACCTTTTTACCAGGCGGCGGCATCAGCTCGGAGGGCTCACGACCAAGTGGTCGCAACGGATCCTGCGAAACGGAATACAAATTGTGCAAAGAGCATCGCGAGACAATCGCACTCACTATTGGTTTCAGATATTCCTTGTACTTTTCACGTAAAACCTCTGTTTTTTTTCTATAATCTTCCATATTACATTGAATATGCTTCGTTTTTTTTCTTCTCTCTTCTCTGTTTATTATTGTTATTATTATTTTTTGTTGTTTTTTTTTTTTTTTTTTTTATAACACTGTCGAGAGAACAAAACTTCAAGCACTGACTGCAAATGGTCGTAAATTAGCTACAAATTAAGTTAAAAGTCAAGGCCTACTTGATTTTGCCCCGTCTCCCTTGCTTCAACCGGGGTCCAAACGTCAGGCGTTACAGAGGCAACTTTGATAGAAATAGAATCAATCGAAATATATCGGTGAAAGATAATTAATTGACTCGATCAGATAAGTTGGGTCTATTAAGTTTCTCACTGGAAAGCGAAAGTGCGCAAATGCCAAGAGTCCTCCTCTGACTTTAAAGCTCCCCTTACTCTAGGCCTTAGCCTGCTTATTGCTGGGCAATACTCTAAAATGTGCTCTCTTGTGACTTGGCTCTCAAGGCAGATCCCCCACAGCCTGCAATATTTAGACGTTAGCATCTCAGCAAGATGTCTACTCTGTCATCGAGCACACAGCAAATCTGTGACCTGTCCAAGGCCTTATAATAGCTCCGATACCAACTGGTTATCTCAACGCTCGAAACGCACAAAAATATAAAAATAAAATAAACCTATAAACAGTTCTGATATACATATACCACAACTTATAGTATACACATGCGTACACGTAAGAGTGCCATAAAAATATATGGACTTAATTATCAAACGTCTATAATTGTACAGTTACAGCACAGCTGGTTTAATATTTATACCATATATAACATCACAACTTCTAGCCAGCAAAAAAAAATGTCACTGGTTCGATTCAAAGTCACGTCGTTTATTTTTGCTTGTGAACTTGGGCTATGTTTAAAATCTTGATTAACCATATATTCTCGTAAATTCCAATATGAATCATTAGCAAATAAACCATCTAAATAAATCCTAGTCAAGTCTCATAATTGCTGAACAATCTGAATTTTAGAATCCGAATTGCCTAAATTGAAACTCTTTCACAAATTCACATCTGCCCTCAATAAAATAAATGCAATTGGCATGCAAATTACCAAGTCTTTGGGACTGCGTCCAAACCAAAAGATTTTTGACAAAAACGTGGTTTGGTTTGGGTTCCGGTTCAATTGATTTTAGTCTGGAGGAATAACTGGAAATCCGGGAAAAGTTGCAACCTCTTACATCTTGAGTGGGATTTGAACATAATTCTTAGTTTGATATCCAATTGCAACGCAACATTTATGAAAATTAAACTAAACTAGAGTACATAACAGATGCCAGTTGTTTAAAATTCGATCTAAAATCGCCAAGCTTTATCTTGGCATATGCCTTGGTTTATCTAAAAATCCAATTAGCTTTTCTTTTTCTTTCACTCATCTAGTCTACTTTAATTGTTCTTTCATTTCAAGCTCAATTTTTAAACGAAGTCCCAAAAGTTCCAATTAGAAAAGGCTTTGCATACAATTTTGTTATAAAATGTTACATTTATGGTTTTTATTATTTAGTTTTTCCCAGTATAAATATATCATATATAAAGTATATAAAAAAAAGTTCATTAAAAAATTACACATACTCTTTATGTTTTTTGTTTTTTTTTTCTTTCTTTTCTTTTTTTTTATATAAATGGTATCTCGTTTGCATTTGTCGCATTTTTGCATAGTTAATTTCATTTGTTTTAAAACGTTTTTTTTCTTCTTGCGTTATATCGTGTCTTTTAAAAAGTACATTGAAGATATACTAAGATAAAATAAGTAAATATTTCAGTGTCTGTATTGCATGTCTTTATTGATTAGCGTGAATTTATTTATATGCGCTTTTTTAATAGTAGGAATGAGCTTTAATTCGCTTATTTATTGCAAATGCATATTTGACAAGACTTGGAAATCAACTTGGCAAAAAACATGCAGCAACAACAACAACAATGAGAACGACAGCAACAAAAAGCAGCTACGATTCCATTGACAAATGACGCGAATGACGCATGCACAACATTGTCTCCGCTGTGGCATTGAAGTTGCCACTGGATTAAGTTGCAATAGTTGTTGTTGCAGTTGTTGTTGTTGTTGTTGCTGTGGAACGTTTGCTTATATTGGATGGCGGCTGTTTGCAGTCGTTGCTTCTCATATTACATGTTGCTTTTCTCTTTATATGAAGAAAAAAAAAAATACACAAAAAAAGAACTAAATTTTATGAATATATAAAAAAAAACACACACAAAATTTATAAAAGCTGAATGTAAGTGAGAGTGTGAAAGAGAGATAGAGAGAGAGAGAGAGAGAGTTGCGACGCGTTGTCGTAGTTAGCAAATGCTGAATGCTTGTTTGACCAAAAAATTGCTGCCTTTTAGGCCTTCTTCTCGGCCTCGATGACCTCCTTGGTTGGCAGCACGTTCTTCTCGTTAGTTTCGGTGTGCTTCAATTTTTTCGCATCAAAGTTCTCGATGCCGGCAATGAATTGATTCTTCTCCTTCTCCTGTTCAATTGCTGTTGCGGGGCGAGAGAGAGAGAGAGAGAGAGAGAGAGAGAGAGAGAGAAGATTCGTTAAATTGTTCACATTAGTTGCAATTGCCTTAAATGGCGCAGCTGGTCTAGCCACATGGTCACACGGGGCATGTGTTGTGCATTGCCCGGCCGAGCTGCTCCGTCTGTCTATACGCACCTTCCTTATCGGGCAATGGATTCTTCTCATGGGTCTCCGTATGCTTCAAATTGGTCTGATCGAATGCGGTGATGCCCTCAATTATGGACTTTTGAGTCTTCTCGGCGGCCACATCTGTGCATGCAACACGCAACAACAACAACAACAACAATAACAACAAATTAAAAAGAAAGAAAAATTATTGCATTGCCAATTTAATTCATGTTTTGTAACAACTTTATCAGTTTTGCTACTTACCCTCGGCGGTGGGCAAAATGATTTTCTCCTGGGTGCTGGCGTTCTTCAGTTTCTCTGTGTTGAAGCCTTCCAATTGGCTCTTCAGGTTCTCGGCCACCTTTGGCAAATCCTTGAGTGCTGGTGCTGGTGAAGCCATCTGAAAAAAATTTGAAGTTACATTTCCGTTGACTTTCAAAAAACGCGCAATCGACGTTAAACAAAGGCCCAGATATCGATAACGCAAACATTGATTGGACAAAGGCAAAAATGACAGTGGCTCGATAAAGCGGAAATGCGCATCGATAACGATGCCTAGCAAGCGCGCGGGCGCGCGCACACACACACACACACAAATGCATGCATGTCTTTGGTTTCGTTTTGAGAAATGTTTCGTTGTTTACCGTTCGGTTTATTATGCGATTTCTCATAGAGATTACTTTGAAAGGCGACTTATTGATTAAGAAACAAAAACACAAAGCAACATACTCATAAAAATTTGTCATGCCAGCGAATGAGTCATGCTGGACAGCAAGGACGCACAAACCCATACACACACACACACACATACTTGGTAGCTATATTACATGTATATGTGTGTGTGTGTGTGTCCGCTATCGAAATACCAGCAGAAATACAAGAGGAAGGCAGAGAGAGAGAGAGAGAGAGAGAGAGCGTGAGCAAAAAGTTCAGCGAACCTACCGCAGTAGCGCAGCAGCAGCAGATTAAATTCCAATTGGACAAGCAACTGGAGGCGAGTGTACCGTTATCAGTGCTTGTTTTGTTAGTCGCCGTTTGCTGCTAGCAATAATAAACTGCATTTTATCACGTTTATTTTTAGTTGCAAATCAGCCAAAATGTGCCAGCTACTTGCCCATTGTTCGTGCGCGTATTCTAGCTAATCGACAAAATACATACATATATACAAAAACATTCAACACATGAGCGAACTTTCCATGTACATATAAACTTCATAAGAAATAGATCGATCGCAACGGTGCTGGGGTGTCGTTTGTATTTCATTTCAATACCCCACCAACAAACAGTGTACCCTCTCCCCCCCACCACACACTACAGTCAAAAGCCAATTTTGTTTGCCCACATAAAGAAAGCGCTTCATTAATATCGATAACAAGTGCATACATATGCAATGCATGTGCAATGTGTATGTGTCGTCTCTGTGTGTGAGTGTATCCGTAAATTGCACAGCAAGCGTTACAAGGGCGGCAACCGCGCCAAAATAAAAAAAAAATCTATATATATAAATACAAAATAAATCTACGCTTGATAGCCGTCTGTATTTTATTGACCATATATGGCCACATTAAGGCGCGCCTAAACGCCGCTTTCGTAATCGCCCCTGGCCGATAGACGCTGACTGATTGACTAACGGCCCCAGCAGCGTTTAGTCATTCCAGCAACTCCTTTTCCAACTCAAAACAAAGGCGAACATATTGCAACGCAGGCATATGTACATATGTATGTACATATACGGCGAATTATGTTGTTGTTGTTTTTTTGTTGTTTTGCTTCATTTTTGTGGGTTTGGGGGGAGTAGTTTGCATGTTCTCGCCTTGTTTGCCATGAATCAACTTCCAACTTGGAGCGAATTATGGTCGCGATGAATCATTTTATTCGCCGTCGCCGCTGCTTTTGTCTCAGCCCACACTTGACGCGGGCTCTCTCTTTTCTTTCACTCGTGAACTCTTGCGCTTCGGTGAGAGCTTTTCAAACTCCGCTTCAATTGCTTCTTTTTTTTGTGGCTCTGTCTTTTGTTTTGTGAATTTGATATCTTTATTTTTATTTTGGGGCTTATGTAGCTGTGTGCGCTGATTGAAGCGGGTGTTCGAGTGGGGAGAAGTGGGGGTCATTTGGCTGGCGCCAGCAAACCGCCAATACGCCGTTAGGCCAATTTTGACATTTGAAAGCGTCGTCGAAAAGGCCGCTCGAATGTTAAAGCCGACGCTGTCGGCGTCGCTGATGCGTGCCGCGACGGCGCAGTGCTGCAGGCGGGGGCGTTCATTCGTTGAAGCGAAAGCAGAAAATATAGAGAACAAAAGAAGGAAGGCAAATGACAGACACGTCCGTTTTACACCCTCGCCGCAGTCGGCAGCTGCAGAGACGGGGTGACAGCCTGCGATGACTCCTGTTATGCCCACACACACAGGCACACATGTGCAGTGCACGTCTGCCAGTTGATACATACATTTAAAAATATGTGCGTTTGTCTGTATGTACATACAAAGCACATATGCGCCCGCGACACAAAGTGAATTTTAAATATGCACAGCAGCGACAACACAGTTTAGTCATTCGCAGACGCACACTCATGCGCATGCATACATAGCTGTATATACATGCATATGTACACACATATGTCGCTGTCTGTTATTTCATTTTAAATATCTTTTGCATTTTGCGTACAGCGATAAATTAAATGCCAATTGGATATTATCGATAACATCGTTGGCTCTGCTTGTGTGCGCCACGCCCTCGCTTAAGAAAAATTTGCGACAGCCACGCACACACGCACACATGCACACACGTTAAACAACGAATGCAGCTTAAATGCACAGCTGCACAAATACATGTATATTTAGCTATATATATACGAATATATATGTGCATGTGTATTCAGTACGTGTATGTGAGCACGCGCAAGCCACAAGAACACACTGTGGGGAGGATATTTAACAGCGTCAATCGCCCCGCCCAAGCAGCAGCCGTCGCAGACATACACACACGCACACTCACATAGATACAGACACACACGCAAAGCAGACGCCAAAAAACGAAAAGCCGGCCGGCAAAAAGCTCTAATACAACAAAAAAAATAAGTGAAAAAATCAAACAAAGAAGCTTAAGGCCGTCGACTGAACAGCTGCCCAAATTCATGCATAGGTGTAAAAAGAAGAAAAACTAACGGAGCGGCGGCTGCCGCCACAATAAATAATTTATAACAAATGTAAAGAGAAGTTGGCTCTCGCTAACATTTGCAATGAATGGGAATGAAGCGCAGCCACAACTACAACAACAAGCATAACACCAACAACAGCAGAAGCGCAAACAGAAACCAGTTGGCGTTGGCTTTTGCAGCAGCGCTTTAGATCTTTTTTCTTATTCGCAGACTTTTTTTTTTTTGCCCCCTACTTTCTGCAACAATGAAAAAACACGAAACGTAGCAAAGTATTGGAAATGAAAAAATTGCCGGTGGAAAAAAAAGCAGAAAATTGAAAAAATTGGCTGAAACTCACCTTTAATTTGTGCTGTTTTTTATGTTTGCTTCTTTTCTTTCTTTAGGGTTTGGTTTTATGGCAAAAGAATTGCGCACTTTACAAAAAAATAAATGCGGGTGGGTGTGAGTTGGCTGGTTGGGTGGTTGTAATATATATAAATATATATATATGTATATATATATATATATATATATATATATATATATTAAGGAATATATAGATATAAGTGTAAGCACTCTGCAAATTTGACACTTGCTACTAGATCAGTGTTATATCGCGAAAGCTTACAAGCAAACAGAACGACACACAACTTAATACTGCGCGACAATTGTTCAAATCCAAAAGATGAAGGCGTACGAAATGATGTTGGGGCTGTTTCAAAGAACGCAAAGTTGTTGTCGATAGCATTTATCGAATGCGTGCACACTGCACTGCTCGCATGCAGCGATCATTGCCGTACGATATGTTATCGGTTGTCGATAAGTTTTTGCGTTGGTTTTTATTCTAATTTTGTGAACATTTAACGTACGCGTATTTATGAATGCTCGCCAAATGTGCGGTATTTTATTTAATTAAGGCAGTATTTCTCTTATTTTATGTATTGCTTGTGTATGTATTGCTATTCACAGGAAACGCAATCGGCAAGCCGTTAACATTTAAATAGCTTACACTAAGTATAAATATTACTTTAGTAAGGCTCGGTTTTTGTACTATGTATATACATTTGTATATCTAAAAGCACGCCCCAATAGTACCAACAATTAAAATATTGCAATTTGAGTTCCGTTCGCTACGCATAATTCGCCGAGCGACACTCATTCCAGATGCGCTCCATCTCGACGGGGTCGCCAAAGCCGTGCGAGGCAATCACATCGCTGTAGCTATCCGGCCCATAGTAGCGGGGCCTGTCAAAGTAAAAATCATCACAGCGATGCACGGGTATATGCGCCTTGAGCGCAACCATGCCCAAAAAGATGTCATCGAAGCGAAACAGCGGCAGAGTACGCCCCACCGCATACATCTTGAGCAAGGCATCCCGTGATAATATAAAGGCGCCAGCCGTCACGTACGGCGGCCATTTATCAAACGGATACTCCTCGAGCGACACATACCATTTGCTGAACTTGTGTCGCAGTGGAGAGCTCTGAAATACAAAGCCGGCAAATAGTAGGCTCTGGTGATGGGTCTGTCGACCCTTGCCCAGAAAGCGCAGCACATTCTTGATGGACACGTAATAGTCGTCGTCCACAAATAGATAAAAGTCACTGCTATTGAAATGTTCGCTGGCCCAGCGCATGCCCAGCATCGTCTTGATTGTGTTATTGAAATACGCATCCACAAAGTCGGCGCGTATTATGTCCCCGTGATGCATGGCCTCGGTCTGGGCCGCATCCTTGCTGCCGCTGCCCTCGGCGGGCATGCCCAGCACAAAGGCTCGCCTGATGTGCACGTCCGAGAAGCGCGCCTCGTAGCCCCATGTCTTGCGTATGGCCTGGCGTCGCTGCAAATTGCCAATGGCGCTCTTCACCAATATGGTCAGTCGGGGCGGATCCGCCTGGTCGCGATCGCTCATGAATGCGGGCATTTGTAGGAACTTGTAGTCCAGCGGTGTGACGGTCTCATTGTCCAGCGGATAGTAGTAGTGCGTCTCAAAGTCCAGTTCGTACAGATGCGTCAGAACGCCACAAAAGTCCAGCAGAAAGATAATCGGTACGGCTAGTGCACATTTTAGCAGCAATTTGTAATGTTTTTTTAACATTGCGCGATGGTAACTAGCGATGATAATAGCAGCGATATATCGCTATCGCTCACGCGACTATCAATAGGGTTAATCAATGGCGGGCAAGCAAACAGCTGTTCGCAATATTTAAATTTATTTTCTTCACAAGAAATTAGTAAATAAATTTGTGTTATTTTTAGGTAAAGGAATTTGCAATGCTCCTACGCAATATATTAGTTGCAATGTACTTACCTAATACTATAGTATATAGCTTGCCACGCATATTATGTTTTTGACATATATCGACTATCAAGTATTTATGAAAAACGTACTCGCATACTCGGAATAGTGTTATTAAAAATACCAGTTAAAATACCAAAGTCGTGTAGTGACTGCTAGAGTTGAAAGAAGAAGAGCGTGTATTGAATTTACAAAATCGTGTGAAATGTTATTGCGCTAAAATATTCAAAATGTCTGAGGAAACAGTAAGTGAAACAACTGATGCTGCCAGCGTTAGTGGAGCCAGCAGCTCCAAGCTGACAAATGCCCAAAAGGCGCGCATCGAGCGCAATCAAGCCAAGGCGCAAAAACTAAGGGAAGCCAAGCTGGTCTCGCATCCCTACAAGAATCTACAAAAGTATGTAAAATAAGAAAATGTTTCGATGGCAATGTTAATTATGTGGATTGCAGCAGTAATGCCAATGGGGAGCAACCAGTTGCTGGCCAAAACAATTCCGTGATCAAAGTGCAGGGCACCAAATACATTGACAGTGGCGGCGGCTTCCTATTGGAACAGCCTGTCCTGGCCTCGGCCAACAAATCCACAGAGGAGCCGGTTGTGGCGCCCATTATTGAGGATGCCATTGCCATACCGGTGGTGTATGAGGAGTGCCTGGACTGTGGCGATCAGTATGCCGACTCGTATCTGTTCAATAACTTTGGCTACTCCGTCTGCGACAAGTGTCGGGACACCGAGGAGCGTCACTCGCTGATCACGCGCACCGAGGCCAAGGCGGAATATCTACTAAAGGACTGTGACTTCGATAAGCGTGAGCCGAAGCTACGCTATATAAGTCGCAAGAATCCGCACAATGTGCGCTGGGGCGAGATGAAATTATACCTGCATCTGCAGGTGCTGCAGCGCGCCATGGATGTGTGGGGCAGTGAGGAGGAGCTGATGCGCCAGCATGAGCAGCGCGACGATAAGCGTGTGCTGGGCAAGACGCGCAAATACAATAAGCAAATGAAGCAGCTGCGCATGGAGGTCAGAAGCAGCATTTATACAAAGAAAACAACGGCCGTGCATGAACACGAATTTGGGCCAGATACTTACAATGAGTTGGAAGACAATTATACCCATTCCTGCACAACTTGCCCTTACACCGAAACCTATGAGAAAATGTAGATGTTCAAATCTCTCTCAAAATTCGTTTATAATTCATCTAATTATTAAATAAATATTTATGATAAATTGCCCATAACAAAATGTACACAGAAAAATCAATTTGAATACACACAACTATCGATAAACAGAATACGGATTTTTTTTTATTTTTGCCATTCGCACTAAACGTGTTTGTTGGGGGGCCGATAAAATGTTATCGTTGACTGCCATCGCTAAAAAAAACGCCAAGCTGAGAGGGTCGCAGCAACAACAGCAGCGCCAACAACAACAACATCAGCAGCAGCAGCAACAACAACAACAGAAGCAGCAGCAGCAGCAGCACAAGCACCCTATACCACAAAAAATCATAAACAAATTAGCTGTGCAGCGTAAAGGAAAAATTGGCAGAAAAATGGAGGAGCAATCGGACGATGAGAACTTTGAGCCAACGCCAAAGAAGATCAAGCGCGACTGGCTCAATAGCTATTGCTATTCGAACAAGGCCATGGGCATGATGAAGAAAATGGGTTACGAGGACGACAAGGGTCTGGGTAAGAGCAAACAGGGTCGCTTGGAGCCAGTTATTGCCGTGCAGCAGGATGGACGTCGTGGCTTTGGTTTAAAATTGAGTACCGTCCACTGGTCTGCCGGCAAATGGGATCCGAGCTGTGAGGATTTGGAAATACCAGAGCCAGTGATCTGGTTAAATCAAATGGGCGACAATTGCGGCGCCTATACATTGGAACAGCTGATGGGGCACATGATAACCGGACCACGTAAGCTCACCCTTGACGATGAGACGCAATTCTGTGATCCAGAGATTTTACAGCACATCCTAAATGCGAAGACCGTCTTCGATGACCTAAGCGATACGGAAAAGCGACGTGCACGCTCCCGATGTAATCCGTTCGAGACAATACGCAGCTCCATATTTCTAAATCGTGCCGCCGTCAAAATGGCCAACATTGATTCCATGTGCGACTATATGTTCACACAGCCACGAGATTCCCATGGCAATTCGCTGATCGGCACAAATGAGCTCCTCTACTTTGCGGACATGTGCGCGGGTTGGTTTTTGTGTGCATACATATATATTTATATATATAACATATGCTATTTATTATATTCACCTATATGTCTACTATCATGCAGGACCCGGCGGCTTCTCTGAATACGTGCTATATCGCAAATCGTGGAAGGCCAAAGGATTTGGCTTTACGCTACGCGGCACCAACGATTTTAAGCTAGATAAATTCTTTGCCGCCTCACCGGAATCATTTGATGCCTTCTATGGCGACAAGGAAGATGGCAATATATTTGATCAGATCAATCAGGATTCATTGAATGATTATATACGAAAGCATACGCCGCAAGGTGTACACTTTGCCATGGCCGATGGCGGTTTCTCTGTGGAAGGACAAGAGAACATCCAGGAGATACTATCCAAGCAGCTGTATCTATGCCAATTTGTTACCGCCCTCAAAATACTTCGCATCAATGGCAGCTTCGTATGCAAACTGTTCGATCTGTTCACGCCGTTCAGCGTGAGCCTCGTCTATTTGATGTACAAATGCTTTCAGCAAATCGCAATTATCAAACCAAATAGCAGCCGGCCAGCCAACTCGGAGCGTTATATTGTATGTAAATACAAGCTGCCGGACACAGAGGCAATCGTTAGCTATATGTGCATGGTCAATAAGATATTGAACGAGGAGAGCGAAAATAAGGAACATCAAATGGATGTACTTGAGCTGTTCGATCGCAATGAGATGCTACAGGATGAGCATTTTCTACGCTACATTATTGATTCGAATAATGCGATTGGCAATAAACAGATTGTTGGCCTGCACAAGATAGCGGCATTTGCCCAAAATCTGGAACTAAAGGAGGGCAGACAGTCGGAGGTGCGACAGGAGTGCCTGAAATGTTGGGCACTGCCCGATAAGCTGCGTCAGGCGCCGGAAGTGAAAACCACCGAACGTCTGCTGGAGGAGCTATTGCGAGATTGGGCCAATGATCGCAACTGGCTTCACATACCAGCTATGGAGCTAAAGGGCGTTGTCCCGTTGCACACCGACATACTGAATGTTAGCGATTGGCATTTCATGCCCATTGGACGTGGCGAAATAAATATTAACGGCTGCACGCTCTTTCTATGCAAATCACGTGGCAATTTGCTGCGCTACACGGAGCACAGAAAATGGGAGCAGGTCGAGTCCAGTTTCAATGTACAGCCGCGTTCCATATTCTTTGGCGAGATTGTCTTCGAATATTGCGGCGAGGGACGCACATCGCAGAGTGTATCGGCGCTGCACATCATGGATGCGATCTGTTTGGGCGGCATCGATATACGGCGACGGCCATTCCTTGAGCGGGTCGGCATGTGTGCCATGTATGCGCGCAGTTTGAATAAGCCGCACAAGAAGGAGCGGACATGCGGTGCCATACGCTGCAAGCCCATCTTTCGGCTGCAGGATATGAGCCGTTTCTTTAACGAGATGCGTCCCTATGTGCTCAAGGATAATTCACAGAGATTTGGCTATTTGCTCGATGATCAGAAATTCTTTGTGCCCGGCGGTATTATCATATTCTGTGAACTGGCCGTCAATTTTGTGACAGCATATTCCAGATCACATCAACAGATCTATTATTATAATACCAATACCAAGGAGTCACTGTTTAAGGAACAAATCGAACCGCATCGCTTCAATGAGGTATTCTCATCGTTCCGGCACAGCTATTCGCGTCGCAAGCTCTGGAAATGGACGAGCACGCTGCAGGTGGACGAGCATGCCACCGAGGAGCATCCAAAGATATTGTATCGCAGCAATTTTGAGCAGTTCATAAGAAAGAAGCTGACGCCCCATCCCAACTAGAAACCTAAGTCAATTCAAATGCAAAGCACAGATCGGTACGACTATTGGAAATTTGCAATTTTAATCGATTTCAACAATTTCGTTCTTTAAGCTACAAACAAAAAACAAATATTGTGTTAACATTTTATTGTAAAAACTGCATGAATTAACATACACATATATATATATATATATCTAAATATATATATATCTTTATGGCTATGTATTTATATATATTTATATATATATATATATATATATATACATGAGCATGCTTGCGCCTAGACAATTTTTTCCTAAGTTTTAAAACGAAATTGTTTTATTTTGCATTGTTTTTTTTTTGTTTCATATTTTATTATCAATTTACTTGTTTGGAAAAGTATTTGAATTTCTAGCGCTTTACCCACTAACTGTTAATAAATATTATGATAACATTTCATATATATATATATATATATATCTATATGTAAAACCAACGGCTGGGCCCACACACCCGACTTAGTAAAAATCATGATGTAAGCCCAAACTATATAAATATTTAAGTTATTGACAAAGAAACTGCTTGTTTTATTATAATTTAAAAGCAAGCCGCTAAACTTATATATAATATATATATATTAAAATATATATATTTATATATGTATATATACATTTTTTTGTTCGCTGTCCTGCTCCATTCTATGTAAAGCCTGTTAGCTGTATTTCCATCAGACCAGTTGCCATTGTTTTCTATCTGAGCGGGCATTGAACTGTCATATTATATAGGAACATGGGAACAATCGGCATTGTCCAAGAATTAGAATATGAACGTTATAGAGCTTTATTTATGTCTAAAATGTTTCTGCATAATTGTATATGTACCCTGGCAGATATACAATGCTTTATTATTTATCATTAAGAACTTATATACACTCCAGGTTATACTATACAGAATGGTAATCTAGCTTGGACATACAATTTTTAAATAATTTTGATTTTTAATTCTTAGAAATCAGAAATCTATAGATAAGTTTTATATTTACATGTTCCTTATACGTTAAAGAGGACACTTTGAGCTCTACACATTATTATTATTGATATCATAATTAGTTTCTCATTAATTCAGGGACTAATATACCCATATATACCTTGACAGATATATATAGCTGAGGAGCAGCATATTTCTAGACTTAAAGATGCGATTGTTCCTGTAGGAGTTAGATGCTTTAGTGTTCTATTTAATACACACCTTACTCTAGTGTAAAGAGCAGCTCTCAATAATATGCCCAAAGATACTTGGATATAAGTTAAAAGTCAAAACTTCGCTTTTCTAATCTTTGATTCCCATTTTTTATCACGCAGCGATGGCTCGTGTGAAACCTTTGTGAAGTTAATTTGCAGAGAGCTTTGAAAATGAGTTTTAGGCCGATGGAAGGGCAAAAAATTAGCATACAACCGCTTCCGCGCATTTTCCACACGTTCGAGTGGAGTTCTGAGCGTAAATGTACGATACATAAGGTACAAAAAGGTTTTGGGCTCATGGAGATATACTTTAAAGAGATCGAAGATGTCTTCTTCCATGCCTTACATATTTCATTACAAACTCGTCATGCTCTTTGCAAGGGTATACAAAAGTTCAATTGCTTGCGTCTAATTTGGAAAGGTCGAGCCTATGTTTTATACGCTTAGAACCAGATTGTATGCATTGTACCCATCTAGGCTATGCTTCCAAGATCATGGTCAGGGGAAGTTAGCTCTGTTGTTGTTGTCTGTTGTCTGTAAAAATATATAGTTATATGTCTTAGGCATACAACATATAAGAGTTTTGGCTGCATTAAATTACAAACTTTGTAGATTTATTGAAACATAGATGCTAGCTGGGATTATGCTAAAGATTGGAATAAGCATATGTGATTTTACTTTAATAGTTTGAGATGCTTCACATATTTGTGGACCACATCTTTTACGTAGGGCTTGATTGCCACGCAGGTTGGTATATTCTCCGGCTGTTCGATCCAAAGTTTGTGCTTGATTTCGTTCTCTTTTAGCTTCTCGCTGAGCTTCAGTAGCGCCGCCTCATCCTTGGCCTCCAGCACCACTTTGTGCATATTGTCCAGATCCTTGAGATACGCTTGCGTCTCCTCGTCCTCCACATGGACACTCATCACCGCAGCCGTTGCATGGCAGCATTGCGCGATCACCGCGCCCAGTGGCCAGTTCAGGGTAGAGCGCAAATCGCTTCGCACCACAATATACTGCACGATGTTTGCCATCGCCTCGAAAAGTCTGTTAACACAGTGTGCCGGCAAATTGTGTTTACATATAAATAAGATTTGTAGACCTGTACGCTGCTCACTTGCGAAAACAGGCTAGGCAAAAGTCAGAGAAAGCTCTACTGAAAAGCGGTTTGCAGCAAGAGACTGAGCTGCGTATCTATTGTGAACAGCTGTTTGGCCGTCATAAGGTGGCCAGATTTTTTGTTAAAAAAAACTTTGGTCAGCCTAGAAAATGACTGTGAACTCTAGGCATGTACGCTGCTTAGGTGTGGAGGTAGGCTAGACAAAAGTCGGGCAGCTCGACTGCAAAACTGCTTGCAGCCAAGGCACTGAGCTGCGTACACATTGTGAACAGCCATCTTTAGGGTGACCAGCTACTTGCTTTGGCCAGTCTAATAACTGCTATTCAAATTTGAATTGAATGCGGTTTATTTTTTTTTTTAAATGTACATTTTAAATACGACATGCTAGTTTTTTTTACAGCAAATTATTTTTTATTAAATATTACACATTTAAATGCTCTTCAAATGTTTACAATTCTGTTCAAAAGGTCCTTACTCATTTAAGAAAACCTATTTTTGAATTATTTGAAATTCAAGATATAATGTTGCTATCGATTAAAATAAGCATTAGATCTGATTTTGAAAGTTTAATGTAAAAAATTAAAACATAATTTGACTCTTAGTGCTTCAAGTGAATTTTAAATGATTTTTCAAGACCTTCAACTTTTAGTGCTTAAAATTTAAATGTCTGGTTCTTGTTAATTTGAAAGGAAAATTAAACCCTTTTGCGAATATTACTTTTATTTACGGAATTTATTCCATGCTTTTCGTTTTCTTCTCATTATCAATATGAATCCTTCTACCCAAACAATTTAATGACAAAACGGATGTGAATGCAATCTTTGAATTGGACATAGTTACAGTTCAGGCCAGCAAAGTTTTCTTAAAATTAAACGGGTGGCTGTGTTTACCCCTGCGACTGGGTCAAAGTTGTCAAAAACAGCGGATTGCATTTTTTTTGTTGGCAACATTTGCAGCTTAATTAATCACACAATGCAGAAGTGTTGAAATACACGAGAGTCGCTCATGAAATAGTCAATAATATAGTTGTCATTGCTCAAAAGAGTTTTCAAGCAACTAAATTGATGTGAAAAATATAAAAGAATAAGAAAAATACTATCTAAAGTCTTGTATATAGAAAGTCATACTATAAAGCTATATGGCAAGACTTTGCATGTTAGTACAGAAAAAGTATTGAATTCCTAGTTACCATGTCAGGTCTCTCAATCAATTTAGAATACCCTTTATGAGGATATCAAAAATTGATAGGGTATATCAACTACATAGAATACCTTTTGAGCCACCCTCGCGTTTCGGCGGGCCAGCGACCAACATTTGCAAATAAGTATATAGTTTATATGTTGCAATCAGCTCAACTGAGAGTCGCCAACGTTTGTGATCTGTGAGGTAGAGTGGATGGCGGGCTGGGCTCTGCAGAGGAGGGGGTAGGGGGTTGGGGGGCTGTGTAGTGTGGCATGCCGGCGTCGCATAGTGCCAGTGACATGCGCCCGTAATTAACGTCCCATTTTGGGTTAGATTATCCATGAATAATTGGAAATGACGATGGTCGCGCCTGGTCTTCGACTAGCTGGCCGTGGACGCACGTAGGTGCAGTGCCTGTTATAGTTGCGGAGAGGGGAGGGGTGAGGGTGGGGTTGGTGTTGGGGGGAGGGGGGGGGGTGTTGCTGGAGTGGCAACTGCAGCAGATTGATGATGGGCGGTCGAATAGTAGCAGCCACTGTTGCCACTCGGCTGCTGCTGCCCCAGCTCGACAGCTACAGCCAGCCGGACTGCTCTCGGTTCGTCTGTCCGTCCGTCGGTCTGTCCGACCGTCTGGCTGCCTGGCTGCCTGGCTGCCTGACTGGCTGGTCCGCTGGCATCGGCGACGGCAGCTAAAAACTTTGCTAATTGCTTTTTGGCCACATTGGCCAAGGCGCTGGCGACGACAACAGCAACCGGCAACGGGCAACAGTTATGGCATCAGCAGCATCCCAAATGCCATGTGCCCAGTTTGCCAGCCATGTTCATTGCATTATGATACCCTGTAAACTGTAAACGGGTGTTTAAGTGGATATGCTGCATTTGATTGCCCATTATGCTGCACACTGTAAGCGTACTTTAAAGGGATGCAATTATACCCTCGACTGACTTGACCAACGGCGTATTTTGTAGTGTATGCTTGCTTCTATGGCATTTAAATACCCTGCACTTCGATTTTTGATCTAACTGCTGGATTCTCAATGCATATGCTCGAATACCTAGCCAGCTTTGCGCCACTATACACTCTCTTTTCTTGTTAATATACCCTGTACTTGAAGGTTTTACCATTCTATTTAATTGTCTAAAATAATATTAAAATAAATCGCATTTATTTTGTTTCTTTCTTTTCTCTGTCAATATTTGTTGGCAAAGCTTATCGATTAAGCTTGTCTACAGATAACACTCTTTTTAAGCTTCGGTTAATTGAAGCTTAGTTTAAAGTTGCGCGAGTATCAGTGCTGCCAATTTAGCTAGCTTCCAGCTAAATGCAGCTATATTTTCAGTTTTAGCTGTTTTTTTTTTTTTTTGCATATCTATGACAAATGCTAGCCCGTTTATTGGCAATTTGTGTTCCGCAAGCGAGTTCAGCTTTTAATTTTAGCTATTTTTCACACTAGCTTCGGCTACTTTTTTCCAACACTGGCCAGAATCACGGATGGCAGGGCAAGAGCTTCAGTTGTTTGGCTTATGAAGATTTGTGGCGCTCAAGAGCGCATATAGAGTATATATATAGTCGAGTCAAATTTTAAAGCTCGACTCACACTCATTTATCTGTGAGGCTGTTGTTGTAGTTGTGCATTTAATTGTGCCTTTTTGTGACACGGCCTACAAATCGCCGAGTCAGCATAGAATTAATTACGCAGACAAACAAGCGCACACATAACGTGAGAGAGAGAGAGAGTCAGAGAGAGAGAAAGAGAGAGAGAGAGGGAGAGTGTGACTGTGAGTGGGGCCACAATTTGAATAGATAGTTTTTCGCACTTTGGCGTTCCATAAATTTTGCACTCACTTCTCAATTGTCAAAACAAATTTGCCAAATGTGCCATTCATTCGTTATGAGATTAGGGCACGCAACCCACATGGAAATCCACCATCACATTCACATTCCCATTCACATTCACTATTCACACTCACATTCATCCTGCATCCGCAGGTCCAGGCTCAGCTGCTTGGCGCTCCCCGGGGTGCAGCCCATGAGCCGCAGCTGCCTTTAGCTGGGACATGAATATGAGTGCTTCGGGCCGGGCAGAGTGAGAAAGGGCGGAGAGAGGTTGGCGGGAAAGGGGAGGGGGGGGGGGGTGTACGTATAGTTGTTTGGGAAATGGGGCAGTGACCGCTGCCCAAATGCAAATGTCATTTTGTGGCCATTCGAATGAATAAACGAAATTAAATGCAAAGACTGACCCAAAAGCGAAAGAGTTTGAATGGCAGCTCAACTAGCCGAACAGCCACGCCCAACCGACCATCCGCCCATCCGGCAGCAGCCAAGAGCCAAGAGGTCCCACTCGGGACCGCACATCAACCTGACGTCAATAGAAAGTCAACGTCGACGTCTGCGTCGCAGGGTTGCAAATTGATTCGAATTTGAATCGCAGTTCGGTTCGCCCCATTAATCAAAACCTTATGAATACGAAACAAACTACGAATCAACCCTCCATATGTGCGTCTTCGCTGAATGGATCCTAACTATGCGATTGCAATTAATAATTGAGTGTGTAATAAACGTAAATGTTTTCGAAATAAAGTTAAACTTAAAGTTAACAGAAAGTTTAAGTTTTGCTCTATTTTTTTCAAAAATAAACAATTTTGTTATCTAGATTATGTCACTCTTTGGATAAGTTCTGTTTCTTCTAAATCCTTTCGAAATCAAATCAACTTCTTATTCTTACGATTTTCCAAGACCAGCCGGGGTATACCCGGACTTGCCCGTGGTACGTGGTAAAATAAATAAACAAAGAGTTAAACCTCGTGCAAATCGGATGAGATTTGAGCGAGTTATGGGGTTGGGAAATTTTGGCCTATGTCTATATGGGATATTTAACATTTTCACTTGAATTTGGACCAAAAATAAAGTGGTCAAATTTAGATGCCAAATAATTATAGAGGTCAAACCATGAACAAAAAGCCAATACTCGTGCAAATCGGATGAGATTTGAACGAGTTATGGGTGTGGGAAATTTTGGCCTACGTCTATATGGGATATTTGACATTTTCACTTGAATTTGGACCAAAAATAAAGTGTCCAAATTTAGATGCCAAATTAATAGAGAGGCCAAACCATGAACAAAAAGCCAATACTCGTGCAAATCGGATGAGATTTGAACGAGTTGTGGGGGTGGGAATATTTTGAACTATTTATAGGATATTTGAAGGTACCATTTTCACATGAATTTGGACCAAAAATAAAGTGTCCAAATTTAGATGCCAAATTAATAGAGAGGCCAAACCATGAACAAAAAGCCAATACTCGTGCAAATCGGATGAGATTTGAACGAGTTATGGGGTTGGGAAATTTTGGCCTATGTCTATATGGGATATTTGGGGGTACAATTTTCACATGAATTTGGACCAAAAATGATGTTGCTAGATTTAGATGCCAAAACCAAACCATGTCCGTTAACAGCTTTCAGCTGTTATTTATAGTTTAACATATTGCCAAGAACTGAAGCATTGAAGATCAAGAACCGAAAAAGAAAGCTAAAAATATCTGTATAACTTTAAGATATTTTGATGGGCAACTCTTAACGCGCCCAGCACCTAAATCTAGAGCGTAGGCAAGACCTGTAGAGGCTTTGGGTTGGATAGTCCTGTTGATTGGGGTCATTTGCGAGGATGGTGGGCGGGGAGGGAGTGGGCTAAACGTGCAGTCAGAACGTATTAAGAGTTCTGCCAGAGCTGGGACAACTTGTCATGGCAGCACCAGGACAAAACGGCCTGGGTGGACTATGTGTGGGCTTAGGGTTGGCGTGTAGCGGGGCACGGGGCGCGGGGCGCGGGGT